CTGCGACGGGGGCTGCGGCTACGGCTACGGCGAGGGCTACGACTGCGGCTACGACCTGCACGACCAGCTTCCTTAATACTGATCACAGAGGTACCCATCTTGCACTTGAACTCCGAGTTGTTCAGCGTGTCCAGCGCCCGGTTCAAATCTTCCTTGTTGGAGAACTCGGCATAGCCGCCACCCCCACGCGAGTTGACCTTGGTGTAGATGACTTCACCCGCGGGACGCATGTGGTCCTTGAGGTCCTGCCACGACGCGCCGTCGGGCAAGTTGGTGACATCCAGGGCGTACTTGCCGCTGCCCGGCAAGTTACGGCCGAATTGGCTCGTGTTGCGGTCACCGCGGTCACGGTAGCCGCCCTTGGTGGGCTCGACGCGCAGGCGGGCGCCGTCAAAGCGGTAGCCGTCACGGCCGCGGATGGCATCGTCAGCGTCGCGCTCGTCCTCAAACTCGACAAAGGCAAAGGCCGGCGGGCGGCTGGGCAGCTTGATGTCAATGTCCACGATGCGCCCGTACTTGTAGAAGAGGTCGTCGATCTCGCGCGTACGCACGTCCATCGGAAGGTTTCCCACGTAGATGCGGCCGCCCATTGTGCAGAGTCGAAGTTTCGAAATGTGTGGCATCAATGGCGCCCGGTTTCCATTTCACTATCCGGATCTCCGGATAATAAAACCAGCCGACGCTGGCTAGTCGCACGCAACTTCAGCCACGCGGATGGCAGCTCCCTGCCCGTTGTCGGCGCCCGACGCTGAGAACCGTCCTATCGCGCGAGGCTATAGAAGATAAGATGGCGTTGATCTCGCATGCGCGCCATTCTCTGTCGACATCAGCTCGTCAAATCTGTAAAGGTTGGGTGTTTCAAGCCTACGAGGTTGGGCACGCGTCGTTGACACCTCCCTCGGCCAAAGACACGGCGACGCGGCTGGTCGCACGCAATTCACCAGGTGCCAACGGGCCAGGAGCGGTGCAGTTTAGCGCGGGCTCGTCGTGGGCCGAGGCCCTCGAGGCCTTTGGCGGTCGGCGCTCCGGGTCCGACGAGCCGGCGACGCGCGAAGAGCGAGCAGCGCTGCGTAGTCTTTACCGCCGAGAGCAACCTCTGATACTTGATGATTGCCAACATTGCTTTATGGAGTATTCCTATCGCATTTCGCATTTCGGCGAGCGTCATGCAGCGAGTCTTGCGGCAGTCGCGGCAGTCGGGCACGCTCAACTTGACGTCCCGCGACCTGACGCATGTTCCGGCCGAAGTCCTCTTCCCACTCAAGCACCTTGAGGCTGTAGGTCCTACTAATGCTATCCACAGAGCTCATGCAGGCACGTAGGACGAGAAGCATTGGGAATGCATCGATCTGTACAAACTCGACCTGAGCTACAACCAGCTGCGCAGTCTGCCCGAGGCCCTCCGCGAACTCGCAGGGCTCAAGTGGCTCAAAGTCAAGGACAACCAGCTCACGCGGCTTCCGGCGTCGCTGGGGTCGCTCCAGCTTCTCGTGTACCTTGACGTGAGCGAGTACGCCATCCGCATAGTCGTATGTTGCATATCGTTGCTCATGGCGGCGTGTAGCAACCGACTCAATGACGTCCCCGAGTTTGTGGGCGACTTGCTTCAGCTGCGGGAGCTCTGCGTGACGAGCAACACGATCTCGTCCTTGCCGAGCTCGCTCGGTCGCCTCGAGCACCTCGAGACCTTGCGCCTCGACAACAACCAACTCACGAGCCTGCCCGAGGCCATTGGTGCGCATTCGAAGTAGGCTGCGACGCTGCATCTCAGCGTGATATGTAGGGCACCTGACGAAGCTCCGTGTGTTGAATGCGCAAAGCAACCAGCTCGCGTCGCTGCCCGCCTCGTTCGCCAACCTCTTGAGCCTCTCTTCATTGGACCTGAGCAAGAACAATCTGGGGGCGACGGTCGTTGTCCTTGACAAGATGGCACAGCTCGAGTTTGCGGACCTCCGCAACAACGGGCTCTCGGCCTTTCCGTCGCTGCCGACGACGACGCGCTTGGACCACTTGCTCTTGGGCAACAATAAGCTTACGTCCATCGACGACGCATCGCTCGCACGCGTCGCTACGTCGCTCACGGTGCTCAACATCCACGACAACCAGCTCAACGCGCTGTCGGCGGACCTCATGTCGCAGTTTGCAAAGCTCAAGACCCTCGACCTCTCCAACAACAACCTCTCCGACCTCCCTTACGGTACCAACGACGCTGTGGCACCCAAGTTCTTATGGTATCTTAGTGCTTGGTCACATTGGGTCGCTCAACCACATTCTCGTCGAAGGCAACCCGCTCCGGTACACTGCACGCATACGTTCTGCTTCGCTCATGGGTCCTGTAGGTCGATCCGGTTCTCGGTGTTGACGGGCGGCCACCAAGCGCTCAAGTCATACCTGCGCGGTCGCGGCCCCGCGGCTGCGACTGAGAGTGTGGACGTTGCCGAGTCGCTCTCAGAAACGAAATCCGATCCGGCTGCACGTAGCACGCGCGCAATGACCGACGACTCGCTCTTGCATGCGTTTGAAGCCGGGACGCTGGACTTGACCAAACAACAGTATGGTTCTTATTTCTACAGCATTTCGCTACACCCAGTTGCATTAGGCTAACGCAAGTGCCCGTGATCGACGTCGACCACATTTGCGCGACGCTCGTCCACCTCAACCTGTCGCGCAACCTCCTCACCGAGCTGCCCGCGCACATGGGCAGCCTCATGGCGCTGCAGGTACGCACTTCGCACGCTTGCATCCTCGTTGACACACGAGCGCAGACGCTGACGGCCGAAGAAAACTTGATCACGCGCATCGACCCGAGCATTGGTGCACTCCCGCGACTGCAATTTCTCCGGCTCAAGCGCAACCGGCTCAACGAAAAGGCCATCGCCGCCATGCTTCCGCCCACGACCGAGGTCGTCTCGATGCTCAAGGTTCGCGTCTCCTTCCCACCGAAGTATCGTAGTAGTCCGTCTGTTTAGGAACTGGACTTGCGGAACAACGCGTTCACGCACGTACCGCCTATGGTCGTCGAGCTGCCCGTCCTCGACACGCTGCTGCTTTCGTTCAACAAAATTTCGACGCTCGACGGCGTCGAATGGGCGCAAGCCCAGAAGCTCTCGGTCGTCGCCTTCTCGGACAACAAGGTGCGCCGTGACGACACGACCGCTGGTGATGAAATGCACTGCATTGTAGCTCACGTCGCTCGGGTCGATCCACGAAGCCAAGCACTTGACGTCGCTCAGCCTCGAAAACAACAACCTTATGCATGTGCGAAAGTGCTTCGTGGTAGAGAGACTGGGCTGACATAGGCGTGTAGATCCCTCCCGAACTCGGTTTGTGCGAGCACCTCCGCGCCCTCGTCATCACGGGCAACCCGCAGCGCCGCATCCGGTTCACGATCCAGCAAAAGGGCTCGGACGCAGTGCTGCAGTGTCTTCGTGACCAGCTTGGTGTGACCGCGCCCGTCCCTGTCGCCAACGCAGAAAACGTGCCGCCGCCCAACCGTACTCTGAGCCAGCGCAACGCAGGCCATCCTCGCCCCGCGGCCGGCCACGAGTCATCGGCGCCAGCGCCACGCACCACGGGTCCGCGTACGAGCATCACACCTCCGCAGCGGCCGCAGCAGGTTGCGCCAGTCGGCCGGAGCAGCGCCGCGCCGCCGGCCAAGCGCAAGCTCGACGCGGAGCCGGCAACGGACATGGCGCAGCTCGTGGCCAAGATCCACGAGCTCGAGGTTCAGGTCGAAGAGTGCTCGCTGAGCAACGCCAAGCGCTACGCGGTGAAGAAGGAGCTCGCGATGCTGCGCTCGCGCAAGATCCGCGAAGATCGCAAGGCGCACGCGTCGCAGTAGGACTCTTGGGGCCAGCAAACCCAGATGCCCATTTAAGATTGGAAATGGACCAATCACAGCCCGTGCTGCCATTTGACTGGTCTTGAGTATGCTAGCCTATTATTCGCCAATCAATCCATCTTATTTTTGAGAAAGCGATGGCAGGCGACGAGTACAAGGTGGGCAGCATCGCCGCGTCCTTCGGCGCCGAGACGACCGGGAAGAAGGCCAAGAAGGCGGCGGCGCCAGCGGTGGCGCCGACGAACGCGCTCGCGTCCTTCTTCAGCACGAGCGAGAAGCTCTTCGCCAAGAAGCCCGAGCCGAGTATGACCCAAGCGTACGCCGACTGCCCATGGCTCATGGTACCTTGTAGAGATCGTCGCGCCTGTCGTGGTCCCGGTCGTCAAGGCGGCCAAGGCACAGGAGACGGTCGACGCGCCTAAGGCGCCCAAGGTCGTGCTCTTTGACGGCGAAGGCCCGAAGAAGGTCAAGAAGCCCAAGCACTCCAAGGTCAAGCCGGAAGCCAAGGTCGAGGCCGCGCCCAAGGAAGAGGAGGACGACGAGAAGGCGCCGCGCACGATCTTTGTCGGCAACGTCTCGCTCGAAGCGACGGCCGAAGAGCTCAAGAAGTTCTTTTCGTCCTGCGGCAAGGTCGAGTCGGCGCGTCTCCGATCCGTGCCCGTCGCGGGCTGCGCCATCGACCAGCACGGCAAGCAGAACCTCGTCAAGAAGGTGTGTGCCAACAAGAAGCTCTTCGTCGAGGGCCGTGACAACTGCAACGCCTACGTCGTGTTTGCGTCCGAAGACAGCATCGCGGCCGCCCTCGCGCTCAACGGCGCGGTACGCCCATCCCCTCGTATCTTCGTCTTATATCTATGTGGATGCAGGAGTTCCACGAGAAGAAGATCCGCGTCGACCGCAAGGTGCTCACGACGGACCCGAAGCGCACGGTGTTTGTCGGCAACATGGCGTTCGCGGCGACAGAGGACGAGATCCGCAACCACTTCGAGTCCAACTTGGAGAAGGACGACGAAGACGAAGGCTCGGCGCTCGTCGAGTCGGTGCGCATCATCCGCGACAAGGACACCCACCTCGGCAAAGGCTTTGGCTACGTCCTCCTCAAGGACGTGACGACAGCCGCGAAGGCGCTCAAGCTCGACGGTTCCAAGATCGGCAAGCGCGAGCTCCGCGTCTCGGTCTGCGGCAAGCGCTTCAAGACCACGGCCACCGACAAGACGGCTCGGCCGTTCGAGGGCCGCCGTGCCAAGCCCGCGCCCGGCGCCCAGATGCGCGTCATGAAGAAGCGCAAGCTGGACGGCGACAACGGCAAGCCGGCCTTTGTCAAGAAGCCCAAGTTTGACGGCAAACAGGCGGACGGCAAGAAGCCTGCGTTCAAGAAGACGGACGGCAAGAAGCCGTTCGAGAAGAAGCCGTTTGGCAAGTCCAAGCCGGTCGGGAAGAAGGGCGACAAGAAGTTTGCCAAGGGCGATAAGAAGACGTTTGAGAAGCCGAAGAAGCCCAAGCACGCGGCACGGAAGGCTCGTCAGGCGCTTGAGGCGCAAATGGCCACCGGCAAGTAAGGGTACTAGTTGATATTAATAAGATAGACAACATTCGTCGTATACGTCGCCAGTCCATAACTGCAGCGGCACACCGATGGAGCAGGACCAGTTGGAAAGCGAACAAAGCAGCGAATAGGACGATCAGATCTTAGTCGGACAACCTTTGCAGGTCCAGTGGATGCGTTTGGCGATCTGTCTGCAGGACCAAAAAGGACGTGATCACGCTGGCTTGGAATCAGACGGCGCCGATTGGCCATTGCGACGCGCTCTGCGATTTCATTGGCGCACGCGGCCAATTTGCCTTTTGCCCAATGGCGCTCATGCTGACGACCAAGCAGCTCCAGTACGACATGGAGGTCGAGACAGCCGCCGCAGCGTCGCCGAGATCGACCGAGCAGCGGCGAAGGCGACAGCGGCAGCGCGACGCCCAGCGCCGCCACCGCCAAATCATCGCCGACGAGATCCACGAGCTGCGCCAGACCGCCGCCTGGCTACGCACGACGCTCGCAAAAACCAACGTGCGCCGCCCGTTGAATTGGAAGGAGGTGGCGCTCGCGCTGGCCGAGACGCGCAAAGAGAGCGAAGAGGAGTACAAGGCGCTTCAGCACGACCTGCGCCGGTGGCAGCACCTCTCGTCCATCATGTTCCAGTGGGTGCAGGCAAGCGAGGCTCCGGTACAGCGAGATGGGATATGATGGTTGGCGACTGTCAGCGTACTCTGTGTAGTGCTACCAGTTGCAAGAGCAGCGGAATTGGCGGCACCGATCGCTCTTGTCGGACCCGACGGCGCGCAAGATGGGCTACGACTGGATCATGAACCAGATGTACTACAACCTCCCACGCACTTTGGCCGAGACGGGCCTTCCGGCGTCCACGGACGCGTACTTTTCGTTCGACCTTGTCGACGTCGACGACCCGACGCAGACTGTCGTGATCGCGAGTCAGTTTCCTGTGCCCGGGAGCTTTGAAGCCACGAGCTACATCATGGAGCGCCGCTTCGACAGAGCCCACGCCCTCCAGGTAAGTTTCCATGCGATCGTAAATTTGATTTGACTCGGTTGCACAGGTGCTCGATGTCCCCGACAACGACACTCGCTACGTGCGCTTCGTGTACAACCCCGAGTGGCAGCAGAACACCATCATCCGGGTCGTCCGCGAACCGTCGCGTGTCATCTTCCTCACGCAGTCGATCCAAGAAGACGACGTCCACGGCAGCGGGGGTAGCCAAACACGCTACTGGTCAAGTTGGTACGACCGGCTCCCAGCATTTTTGTACTATGGAAAACACGTAGGACCATCGTCGAGCGCATCAGCACGACGTGCACGCTGATCAAAAATCGGTACACGAGCGCCGCGTGGGAAACAGACGCTGGGTACGTCCCGCTGGAAGCCAACGCGTCCGTGCAAGAGCTCATGCAGACGCACCCGACCAGTTGGTTCTCCAAGCACCGGCAATCTCGCTACGACGGATGGCGCCGAGGCTTTGAAGAGGACATTGCCGACGTGAGCACTCGGCTGGCGACCCTGCAGTAATTTGTCCCTCAAGTCATTTTGTCGTTTTCTCACGCCATGGGCTCGCCTCGAGCAATCGTCGGCGTTGCAACGTCATTGGCATTGGGCTGCATCCACCGTCTACGCCCAACCAGCGAGGACGTTGGGAAGCGGCGAGACTTGTAGCCAACCAACAAGCCTAGTGTTTTCTACATCCACCAGCTGGTGCGCATGCTACGCCGCATCCATTCAATGGGGTGGGACGGGAGCTTGGACTGTCCTGACTAAGATTTCGAGAGTAGGTTTCCGTTGTGCCTGGCAGCATATTACTCTGCATATTATGCCCCACCACCGTTCGCCATCATCCAACCCAGTTGTCCTTTCGGCGTTTGATTGGCCAAAATGAGTTCTTAGGCTGGAGTGCTTGTTACGACCTTCATTCTTAGCCAATCCCAGTGCAGCAAAATTCGAATCAGGTCGAAATTGCACTTTCAATTGGATCCAACGTGCGCATCTACGGGCGAGCTGCTAGCGCGCTCGCTTGGCCACATTGATGGGCCTTGGTTATAAGTTTAGTCGCTCGTCGTTCTACTAAGTATATCTCCAACTGGGTTGGCGGCGACTTTCGTCGTCTGGGCTGTCGCAACACTGGTCGTGCTTGCACATCTTGCCGACCACACGTCCAGCTGCGCGACCCAGTACACCACTTGTTTTTGGTTTGTCCAAAGCCGACCGTTTGTAAACATTTTGCGACCGTCGCTCGCGGATCTTTCGGCTCGTCAGTTTGGATTTGCCGATATGAAGTTTGCATCCACGGTCCTCGCGCTCCTCGGCGCCGTCGTCGCCGAGCGCAAGACGTTCACGGCCTACACGCAGCCCATCACGCTCGAGCAAGGCGGCATCAGCAACGCGTTCCACGTGCTCAAGATCCCCAAGGGCCCCATCGCGGTCTACCGCTTCGCCGGCGACATTGTCGAGATCGCTGCGGACGGCACGGTCATTCCGACGCCGACGTACGACGCGTACTTGCACCACCACGTCGTGGGCTCGCGCCACAAGCGCTACGCCAACCAAGAAGGCAAGTGGACGCCCATGAAGCCCAAGGGTGCGTACCGCGGCGTCGGCTTTGGCGCCGGCACGGAGGCGCGTGGCACGCCCCAAGAGTTTCACTACCCGTACGCCTTCTTCACGACCGAGGGTGAAGACGAGTGGATCGCCAACGTCCACATCCTCAACACGCGCCAGATGTCGCCGGCGCAAGCGCACCGGTGCCTCGAGTGCCCGTGCACGGCCGAAGACGACTTTTCCAACGGGACGATCAACGGCGTCGAGAACCCGCACGAGTGCAGCCCGCAGCTGCTCTACGACAACAACACCGTGTGCAACTTTGCGACGTACACGGGCGGCCTCTGGTGCTGCAACACGGGCGAGTTTTGTCTCGAGAAGAACGAGCTGCCGGCGCCGGCGCCGCCGACGTCGACTTACTACATGCGCTACACGATCGACTATGACGAAATCCAGCCCGAGAACAAGGAGCTGTACCTAGCGGGCTGCTGCGACGCGTCTGGCGACCTTCTCCACCACGGCGCGGTCGAGTACGACGTGCCCAAGTGCAACCCGGATGAGAACCCGGGGTGCGTCTACACCATCTCGGCGCGCCAGCACGTCGGCACGGGCAACGTGGTCTTTGACCTCGGCGAGGACTACACCCTCGACGACCGCGAGGTCGAGCTCGTCTACGCTGTCGGCCATCAGCACCGCGCCGGCCTCGGCATCCACCTCTACAACGACACGACGGACGAACATATTTGCTCGTCGATGCCGACGTACGGCAACGGCACCGTCGCCGGCAACGAGAACGGCTACGTTATCGCGATGAGCACGTGCACCTTCGACCCGCCGCTCCGTATGCGCACAACCGACGTCCTCCGCATCGTCGCGTCCTACGACAGCACGCTCGCGCACACGGGCGTCATGAGTCTCTGGTACCTCGCGATCGCTGACGTGCCCAAGGAAACCACCACCAAGGTGCTGGCGCCGGCAGCGTCCACCGACAGCAACGGCTGGGGCTACGTCGTCGGCGGGCTCGTCGCCGTGGCGGTCGCGGCAACGGCGGCGGTCGTCTACCGCCGCCACACGCGCCAAGGCTACGCGCAGGTCGAAGGCGACAAGACGCCCGCGACGCTCTAACCGTTTTGAGTCGATAATGCATGCTTGTTGCATTTTCTTCTGTCTTATTTACATGGGGCGGACAAAGCTTAGTCGATGTTGGTGTAGGACGTATACGTGCGATGGTGGAGGCGGCGATACATCAGCATCGCCAATACCCCTGCCGCCAGCCATACACAAACGAGCCCGGTGCTGCCACGGTGCGTAGCGGCTCCGAGGTCCGTCGACCGAAGCGCGGCGCTGTGCTTGTTGACAGGATCTGGCGAAGCTCTGATTGGCGTCGGGCTCGGCAAGACGATATCTAGTGCACAACTCATGAGGGTTCTTGTACGACGACGAGATAAAGGACGTACGCCAAGCCGGTGCGACAGTCGTCGTCAATGGAGCGACCGGTACTGCCACGGTCAGGTCTAAGTTCTGAGCGGCGCCGCTGTCTGTGCTGTCTGGTTGTCCAAGCAGAGTCGATTCTGCGTCAATCGGCGGTGGTGTCGGGAACGTGAGCACGATGGCTACGGTCGTAGAGACATTGGCCGACGGTCGAACGATGGATCTGCTACGTACGAGGTCGGTCCTCGTTGGCCATCGCGCTCTCCCACGCGGGGCTGTGGGCAACGACGGTCCCGAGCAACAATACGAGCACGAGGCGCAGAAGCATGGACCTTGGTGCTTGTTGCTGTTTGACTGTCCGATTGTAACGGTCGGAATGACCCGTCTGTGTGCCCAAGTTCAAGTTGCTTGGGATTCCACCCACACAAAGTTGTGCGCTGCGAGCTTGGAGTGCGAGCTTGGAGTGCGGTGTTTGGAAATGGCTTGTCGTTCGATGCCACGTCCTTCCAACCGCGAAAGCGTCGGGCATGATTGGCTTCGCTCTTTCGAGTGCTTTCCATTTTGGCTCGTGGATCCGTAGCGTCTATGCACAGGCCAACACTTCAAGCGCGGGCAGTACAAGCGGTTATCTGGTAGGAACGTTTCCGTGGTGTGTGGCTCCCAGTTCTTCTGTTAGAAATATCCCTTTTACGTTTTGACGCAGCTCAGGACGCCCCACAGCTCCGGTCGCAAGGAGTCGCGTGTACGATGCTTGCACTTGCGACGATGACGGTTGCAGCGTCGATCCGCGTACGTGATACATGTATGCCTGGTCGTGGAAGCCGTGCGCATCGTGAGATTTTGTCCTCCTGGTACCCTAGCTCTCGCAGAGCTCCTACCCTCGAACACTAAAACATCGAAGGTTTCGGTGTGCATTGAAGGCATATTATGGAGCGTATGAAGATCAGTTGATGATGTCGTACGCGCCGTGGCGAGCGTGGCGGCTGGCAAAGCGGCGGAGAACAACGCCGGCGACAATCACCGTGAGCACTCCGAGGCAGACGAGCGACGACGTCGACAACGACGAGGCGGACGAAGACGACGCCGACTGCGCCATGATGGTGTCGTCCGTCCCGTTGCTTGTTGGTACCGGTGTTGCGCCTACATTTATCTCTCCAGTGAGCTACACTGGCGATCCATATCAACGTACGGGGCGTGACAGGCGGTCGATGGGTCGTCGCCGCCGGCGTCGGAATCTCGGCGGTTGTCGGCGTTGGGCTCGGCAAAATGATTTCTACTTGGTGCGTTGGGGAGGGTTCTCCTTGATTCATTGAACGTACCCGTCGTTGGCTCGGGCGTCTCGGTAGTCACAGTAGCTGGCTCTGGTGTCTCAGTTGTCGGCTTTGGGGTCTTGATCGTTGGCTCGGGCGTCTCGGTGGTCGGCTCTGGCGTCGATGGCCCTTCCTCGGTCGGTTTGGGAGCCGTGGACTTGCGGGCGCTCGACTGGGGCGTCGGGGTGCTGACTACGATCTCTACAGTGAAATTAGCAACTGCATGCGAAAGAGCCGGGGTTGACCGGTCGTCGTGGGTGCGGGTGTTTTCGATGGGTCGACGGTTGCCTCGGGGGACGGCGTCGGCAACGGTCTCCCTTGGCCGCCCGTAACATCCAGTGTATCGGGGACGGTCGGGTGCGCCTTGGCAGCGTCCGAGAAGGGCCGGAGACCCCAGATGGACCCACCGTACGCCGGCGCTTGGCTCCAGACAAGATCTTCTTGGCTCACATCCGGTACGACAAACGTGCAGTCGGACTCGATACCGAGGTTGTTGCTGCCGCGGACGATCTTGAAGAAGCCGTTCTCGCCCCAGTAGGTACCCCACGAGTTGCGGATGTGCCAGTACTTGACGCCGTCTTCCTCGCCGTAGCCGACAATCTCGACGTCGTGGTCGACGTCCATAAAGCCGGTCGTGTCGTTGAAGATGCCGGCCGAGTAGTTGAACGTGAAGCCGTCGCTGCAGGCGATGCCGCACGTGATCGGGCCGTTGAGCAGCTCCTTCATCATCGCGTGTTCGCCTTTGATGTTACCATACGACGCCGCGCGGTACCGGACCATCTTGGTCACCGGAAAGCACTGCGCCACCTTGGGGCTCTCGGGCGTGTACATGCAGCTACGTTCCTATGAGACGACTTGTCCACAAAATGGACGACGTACTTCATGCAGTAGCCCTCGGGCGGGCACGTGCCATTCGTCCACGTGTACTTGGCGTAGTCGGTCGCGTTGTACGGGAGGCACGTCTCATCTGGAAGGCCGTAGTCGGACATGAAGCGCCACACGTCAATGCCTTCGCCGCCGTCGCAGCCATTCGAGATGTTGTGCCCCGGTGCGCAGTTGAGGAAGCTCTGGCGCCCGAGCATGACATCGGCGCCAGTGAAGCCTTTCTTGGCGTGCATGATCTTGATGCGGTCTTGGGCCTGCGAGAGCGCGCCGTGGAGGTAGCACGACCCACAGTACTGCGGAACGTGCTGGTTCCACGACGGCCCGCACACCCCTTGCTCGCACCAGTCGAACGCCGTCGGGAGCACGTTATCGATCTCGTGCCGCTGCGCCGGCGTCACCTCGGGCGGCGTGTACTCGGGGTGGTGCGGGTGCCAGTGCTCCCGACCGTGCATGGTGCGGTGGCAGCATTTCTCTCTCTCGTGGCGCTCATGCTTGGAGAGGTGGTGGTGCTGGCTCGCATGGTGGTGCTTGGAGGCGACGCCACCGAGCAGCGCCGCCGACAGCAGAAGCAGCGCGTGCTTCATCCTTGAAAAATGAGAGTGACCAGCCTTTCTAGCCGGCGCCGATGGAACATTAGCCGCGTCGGTTCGATGTCTTCGATGCCGTTCGACCAACCGACGCGGTGCCGAGGCGTCGTGGCGCGATCCGGATAAAATTGAGTCATCGGCGATGAGTCATTTCGCGGGCGGCCAATCAAACGCCGCCGACGTCGGCGCGACACCCGCCGCGACGGGGATTCCAGCCAATCAGCGGCAAGTTGCACTTTCGAGCGGTCGACCGCTCAGTTCTGAATTGACGACAAAAAGAAGAGATGGACTTCGCACACCTCCTGCCGCCGACGTGGAAGAAGCACGTGGCTCTCTGGCTCGAAGACGACATTCCGTCGTACGACGTGGGCGGCTTCGTCGTCGGCGGTACGTCACCCGCGCCCAAGCCACTACGGTACTCATGGTCGTCGTCCCTAGAGGCTGAGCACGTCGCCTTCCTCCTCGGCAAGTCGGATGGCATTGTCGCCGGCGTTCCGTTCTTCACCGGTGCGTCAGACGCGTGCGACATGAGAGGCTCATCGCCCGTGTAGCCGTCTTTGAGGCCGTCGACTGCAAGGTCGAGTGGACCATGCCCGAAGGCTCTCTCATCACGCCGTCGGCCGTCCCGTCCGGCAAGATCGTCGTCGCCAAGGTGACGGGTGCTGTCCGCAACATCCTCCTCGGCGAGCGCACGGCGCTCAACATCATCACGCGGGCCAGTGGGATCGCGACGCAGGCCCACGCGGCGGTCAAGGCCGCGCGCGATCTCGGCTGGCAAGGGCATGTCGCCGGCACGCGCAAGACGACGCCGGGCTTCCGCATCGTCGAAAAGTACGCGCTCCTTGTCGCGGGTGCGAGCACGCACCGTCACGATCTGAGCCAAATGGTCATGCTCAAAGGTAGACTTGTTCATGTACTACAAGCAGAAGCTGATCGCTATATATGTCTAGACAACCACGTGTGGGCTTCGGGCAGCATCACCAAGGCAGTCACCAAGGCCAAGGCGGCGGCCGGTTTCTCGATGAAGATCGAGGTCGAGTGCCGGAAGATCGAAGAGGCCATCGAGGCGGCGAATGCGGGCGCGGACATTGTGATGCTCGACAACTTTGAGCCGCCGCAGCTCAAGGAGGTGGCCGCCAAGCTCAAGCAGCAGTTCCCGCACCTTCTCATCGAGGCGAGTGGCGGCATCACGAGCGCGACGATGCCCCAGTACCTCTCGCCGCATGTCGACATTGTCAGCCAGGGCAAGTTGACCCAAGGTACGCCTCCCATCGCCCGCAACATGGTCTCACGAGAGGGATTAGGGTACGGCTTTTTGGACTTTTCGCTCAAAATCCAAAAGAGCGAGGGTGTCTTGCACCAATAAGTGCTGATGCAATATGATCTGGCTTTGATATATGTGGACACGCAGCCTATGCGATGTGGGCGAGCCATGCGTCGGGCACTCGGGTTGTCACATCGTACTGCATACGACCCACCCAGACGCCGACTTCTTTTCGGAGCGCGGCGGCCAGCGACGTCGGCAGCCACGTCACTGCGTCCAGCACCTGCGTGAGCACGCCGATTTGGTGCGTTCTAGATACACCCTGAGCCACGAAACATCGTGCATGTGTGCACCGTCGTTCGACGCTTGGTGGCTGGAGCTGAAGAATGTACTGCATGCACTGAAGACACTCTGGGAGCGTCGTCGGGTGCGTCATCAGCGCAACGCAGAGCAGCTGGACGGTCAAGAGAGCGTGGTGCAGCACATCCACTCTACACAGCAGATTACATGAGCGCAAACAAGCTACGCCCGAGGCGACCGATGAGATTGCATCCACTCCATAAAGATGTCGGGGGTCACGAGTGCGCGCGAGACGTCGTGCAGGTAGCGCCGACGCGGCTCTGTCACGCCGTAAAAGCGAGCCAGCGTCTCGATGGCAGCGTCACTGGAGACCGCGCTTGCGCACGCGTCGCGTAGTCGTGCTGGTCGTTCGGTGAAGAAGAGCCAGCTCTACCGAAGGACGCTGAGAGCGCAAGTTCTTCATACCGCGAGGTACCTCGGTAGCGGACGTCGGCGGCGGCTGCTTGTCTAGAACGACCCGAACCGCAGCGGGCAATGCACTGTATAGCTCGTACACGAGTTGCTGCGTTCGCACAGTTGGATACGCGTCAAGGCGGCTACCGTCAACGTGAGGGTGGCGTGGCTTCGTGAAGCGGGTACCTCGTGACGAAGCGGCGCGCGACCAAGTACATTGCAGTCGAGTACGTTGCTGCGTCGAACGGCGGTGCGCTGGGCAACAATATGTTGCGCATCGAGCAAAACGGGTCGCGGTGCGCTTCAACGAGCCATTTCTCAAGCTACAAGAGCGCCTGTCGTACGTCTTGTGCGGAAGAGAGGCGACCTGGTGCTGCCACAGCCGCGGCCAGCGCGCCCAGAGCTGCCATTGGACGTCGATCTCCACATCGTGCATGTCCTGGCGCAAACGAGCTTCAAAGGACGCGGCGAGGTGCGACAGAGCAGGTTGCAGGGCTACGAGCGGAGCTACCTCGAGAAAGAGCGGGCGTGGCGCGGCCTCGAGCATGGTCTGCACTTGTTGCAGTGCGGCAGCCGGGAGCGGCGCCGACGCACTGCGCAAGACGCGAACCACGGTCTCTTTGATGACGCGCTGCTGCAGCGGAAGCGATGGGCGGAGGACCATTGGCGCGCGTGTGACGCTCAGCGTGAGGTCGGGCTTGGCGTACACGGTGAGTGTATCGAGCACGGTGGTCCGCGCCCAGTCGCGCGCGCCGTCAGCGTCGCCGTCATCGTCGACGAGCGCTGCGTGGCACACTGTGAGAATGGCCGCATTCCGCGCCGGCGACTGGAGCTGCGCGACCAGCGCCTCCATCTCGTCCTGCGTTGCCATTGTCGTGCCGCAATCTTCCGGATTGTCCGGATACGGATCGGCCCCAACACGCAAATAGGAAGAACTTGGTTCATTGCACAACTTGTCTCTCTAGTGAAGGACATATTCGTACTCGTTCCACGTCCCGAGCTCGTTCACGTCGGTCTCGAGGAACGTCCAGCCGTACTGCAGCAGGAGCTGGTTCATGCGCGCGTTTGAGACCCACGTCGCCGCTGTGATCCGGTGGAGGCCAATCGACTTGGCCCAGACCATGCATGCGTCGTGCATCTCGCGGCAGTAGCCCTTGCCTTGGGCCGTCTCGGAGAGGATCACGCCCCACTCGCCCTCGCCTTTGGCGACGTCCATGACGCGGAAGCCGGTCGTCCCGACAACGGCGCCAGAGCTCGTCTCGACCACGTCCAAGAAAGCACCTTCGCAGTTGGCCATCATGCTTCGGTGGGACGACCGCCGGCTGGCCCACGCGTCGTCCGAGAGGTTGCAAAGGAACGGGATGTACTGCATGTTGGCTTCCTGCGCAAAGATCGCGCGCACTGCGTCGTCCAAATGCGGCGCTGGCGCGAGGTACGTCAAGCGCGCCGACGTTGGAAGCGAAGGGAGCCCCATGCGAGAGAAGCCTCAAGAATGAAAATGACCTCCTTGGCTCCCGCGCGCTGCATATGGCGGCGCAAACTGGCCTAGCCCTACACGGTAGATGCCACACGAGATTTCGCACCCGATCGCCGTGACCTCTTTCAAGGAGTCGCGAAGTGGGACCGTGATGTCGTGCACCGTGGCGAGGCTCGTGGCCAGGAGCTACTTGCGTACACTGCCCAACGTGGTCGTCCTTTGAGTACTACCTCTTGATCTTCTAGTTAGTCGATCACACAACTGCGATCGACTGTCTCTCCCGTGCCCGTAGAGCACATGGCAGGCGTTTGGCTGTTTGTGTTCCGGATCGCAATACATTTCTGCAGTCAGTGCTCGTGCCACTGAAACTCAACTCAACGTTTTGGTTGAGTTGAGCTGCTTCTTTTAAGCGAGTATACAAATCGACATATAGTTGTGTGCGGTTGAAAAAAAGAGCGTCGCACCAGGTGGCCACTCTCTGGCTCGGACTGTGTCAATCGGCCGACAACCCATTTCGCTTGAGCCGATGCTGCCGACGACGACGTCGGGCCGCAGCCTCCTCAATGAGGCGCTCTCGCCGACGGGCCGGCGCGTCCTCAATGATTTCTTCCAGGCCAACGCGGGCGCCAAGGACACGACCAAGCCGCGGGGCATCGATCTGCAGTCGCTACCGCTCTTGACCGAGGTCTTTGTCAAGTCCCGCGCCGCCCTCGACGTGCTGCAGCTGCGCGCCGACCGCCATGACATCATCCTCGTCACGAACGTGCTGCAGAAGAAGGCGGATGCGGTCGACGTTCTCGACTTGCGCAACATGGGGCTCATCCGGCGGGACGATGTCCTCGTGAGCATCAACACGGAACCCGTTCCGGACGTTGCGGCGGCGTATACGGCGCTCAAGGAGCTGCCGTTGCCGATCACGCTCGTCTTCTCGCGGTCGCTCGTGCGCAAGAACACGCTCGGCGAGTACAGCGTCGAGGACGTCATGCGCCATGTCGAACACAACCAGAGCCGGCTCCTCGAAAAGTACGACGCCCACGACGCGGCCGTGATGCTGAGCATGATGGTGCGCTTCACGGGCCTCCAAGGCTCATACACGCTCCTTCGCGAGTTCATCATGGACGCAGAGAACCTGCTTATGCCCAAGCCGTTCGCCGTCCTGCCACCCAACGCCTTTGATGTGGTCCGACAGTACGTGCAGGTGATCCATGAGTACATGGGCAGCGAAGACGACGCGCGCAAGAAGCGCTGGTACGACGACAAGAGCAGTCGGTCGAGGCGCATCGAGTCGATGCAGAAGCAGCTCAAGGTCCTCGACGCCAAGCTGGACGCGACGACGTCGGCGCTGGCCGCATCGCCTGAACTCCAGGCCACTCGCGGCGGTGCCGACTACGCCGAGTTGCGTAACCTTGTTGAGAACCTCCGGGCTGACGTCGAGCGCTCCAAGCAGATGCACTACCTTCCGTCGGTCGAAGGCTTTACACTGCGGTTTGGCACGGGCGGCGTCTACGTTGGCGTCGGGTACATTTTGCACTTTCTACTGTATCAAGGTGTCAACTTGAACGATTAGGGACGTGTGGATGGCGTCGTACCAGACGTCGTTCTCGATCGAGACCCAGCGCGCCGCGCCGCATGTGGTCTTGCGCCTCACGCCCCTCTCCGATACTGGTCTCCAGATCCGTGCGACCAACTTCAAGGTGTACTCGGAAGGCCGGATCCCGACCTTCCACTGCGACGAGCTCAACATTGAAGCGCTCTTCACAGCCTCGATTCCCCTCGTCTTCGACGACCTCACGGGCTGGCGCGTCGACAAGAACGACCTCGACGTGAGCTTCAACAGCCTCAAGTACTACGAGCGCCAAGCCAACTCGTCCGTGCGCGGGAAGGCGAACGACAGCGTGCTCAAGCTCTTCCTCAACCGCGTGCTCCCATCGGTGGTCGAAGAGGCGGCTGTCAACTTCTTCAGCTCCGAGATGGGCGTGCTCTTCAAGGAAGGGCGGGCCAAGGTGCGGCTCACGGGCGACTTGCGTCTCGAAGGCCGCCCGCTCTCGGTCTTTGACGCCTCGCTGAGCGCGACCGACGACGCGCACGCGGACGAGGCCCGGACGCTTCTGTCGCTGACGCCGGCGCAGGGCGAGGCCCTCTACAAGCTCTACAAGGTGTTTGTGCTCACGCCGGCCGCGACGCTCAAGCAAAAGATCTTCTCGAGCGACGCGGCGCTGAGTTATCTCTCGATGCGCGAGCTCATCGAGTACGTGCAGCGGCTGCGGCGACAGCCCAACGTCCGGTATCTCCTCGCTGCATGCTGGCAGACGGCGCTCCGCCTCTTGAGTCCGAGCGACGAGGTCGACTTTTTGAGCCTCCTCGAGAGCGTCGGCGAGATCGAGTCGTACCCGGTCGACGTCTCGCTCGGGCTTCACAGCACCAACATCCGCGTCGACCTCTGCGAAGGCGCGGCCGCCGCATACGCGTCGATCGAGCGCCAGCTGCGCCAGAAGCTTTCGTCGCGCCCCGAAATGAAGACGCAGATTGAGGCCGAGATCACGACGCTCGAGGAGGGCTACAACAGTGTCAACCTGTTGCTGTCCAAGGTCGCGAGCCGCGTCGACGAGGTGGCGCTGCTGCTCAGCGGCGGCCTCCCCGCAGGGTTCGACAGCGACCTCTCGTTTGAAGCGACGGAAGTGACGTGCAAGGGGCCGTGGCAGGCGACAGTGCCGGTGCCGCTCACGGACCCCGAGGAGGCGTTCGAGGCGCGCGTGACAGCGCCGACACGGACCGTCGTCAAGGCCGACGACGGCGATCTCATCGTGAGCCAGTTTGTCGCCGGCGACGACGGGGAGCACGAGATCCAGGTCCGCGTCCAAGATGCAGCGTTCCAGGTCCTCGTCCAAGCGCCCGACAATGGGGAAGGTAGCGCCTCTTCCTCGTCCTTCGTGCCACTCACGTTGGCCCTCAACACAGCTTCGCCGACGCCGACGCTGTCGCTCGAGATGGGCGACAACACCAAGTGCGCCATCCAGCTCAAGCGCCTCGCGTTCTGCAGTCCCATGTGGCCCGTACTGCGCTACTTGCACGCCGAAGCGCTGGGCGCCGCGATCTCGGGCAAGTCGGATCTGCTGCTCGCGTACGTGAGCTCGCCCTTCTTTGCGTTCTCGCTGCGCTTCTTCACGTCGCTGCAAGTGACGCCCGAGCACATGTACTGGACGCTCAACTCGGCGTCGCTCTCCGAGTCGAACGTGAGCTTCATCACGCACCGCATCTGCCTCGCGCAGCTCCTCCGCGACCTCGGCGCGCTCGAGTGGGGCCAGGTGCACGGCGGCGAGACCGACGAAGACGTCAACCGCAAGGCCAAGGCCCGCGCCGCGTCGCGCATGGCGCCGCTCAAGCGCCACGACTCGATCCAGCCGAGCCGCAACAAGAAGCGGAGTCTCAAGTCGCAGAAGAGCTTTCTGGGCGACGAAGACCCGCGGGCGCAGAACATGTTCCAGGTGGCGCCCGACGGCGCGTCGCTGCCCCCCGTGCACGAAGAAGAGCCAACAGCGCTCGAGTCGGTCGAGGACGACCCCTACTACTTCTAAGTGAATTGCACTCTGTCGACTGTGTATTCGGAGACGAGCAACAGGGTACGGGGTGGTATATTCTTCATCTATCTCTCGAAGTGCTTACAAGAGCGCGCAGTCGACGAGTTTGATCTCCGTGAGCGGCTTGCCCTTGACGCAATACACATTTTCTACCTTTCGGACCACGTCCATGCCCTCGACGACCTTGCCGAACGCCACGTTGCGGCCGTTCAAGTGCGGCATCGGCGCCAATGTGATAAAGAACTGCGAGCCGTTCGAGTTGACGCCGGCGTTGGCCATGCCGAGGACGCCGGCCTCCGTGAAGCGCAGCGCAAAGTTCTCGTCCGCGAACGTGCCACCGGCCGCCGACTGCGCGCCCGTGCCGTTGCCCGCGACAATGTCGCCGCCCGTGAGGAACTGGTTCTTCTGGACAGCGTGGATCGGCGTGCCCTTGTAGCCGTTCTCCGCCAGCTGCAAAAAGTTGGCGGCCGTCGCCGGCACAATGTCCTTGGCGACCTCGATGACGACCTTCTCGGGCTCCGTGTTGCCAATCTGCACGCTAAAGGCCACGCGCGGGCGCGGGACCTCGGGCGCCGGGACAGCATAGTCGTAGCTCTTGGCCGCGGCCTTGGGCGCGTTCATCTTCTCGAGCGCGCGGTGGTACCAGCCCCAGCCGCGGGCGCCGGCACGGAGCGGCGCGATGCTTCCCAGCACTTGACGACGCATGATGCTCCTCGATTTGCTATCTGACGACTGGACAAGAGATGAAATCGAGCACCGGGCGCTGATTGGCGAAGACTTTTGGCCAATCACATGCGTGTATCTTGCGAAGATGCGTTAAACGCGTTAAAGAGCACCGAGAGCGTTACATAAACGTGAAAGTGCAGCAGCGAGCACTAGTACACAGTACATTGACTCGCAGCAAAGCGGAGACCTCGATGCACTGATGACAGCTGCCAAGTGGCGCAAGCAGAGCTGCAGCAACCGTCGTACACGTATGTAGGGCGCTGTTTCCGAACTAACGCACAGAGGCTTGGCAGCACGACCTAGCGATGGCGTAGGTTGGTGCCAAAACCACTGTCTACAGCTAGCAATCACAAGGCCGCAATTATCACCAACGTCGAAGGGACTACCTAAGAGGCTCACGAAGCCATGCCGTCGACGGCCAGCAACCATAACCAGCTGCCACCGCATCGGAGCCGTCGTTGTTTTTGTGTTCGAGCCCAATACCACAGCAGCAAACGGCGTATACTTTTGATGCCCTTGCGGTGGCACTGGAGGAGGTGACACCGTTGTGATAGTCGTTGCTGCCAGCTCCGTCCCTTGTTGCCCAAGCCGTTTCAAACGGCCGAAACCACCTAAAACGCGTTTAAACCCCCCGCGTCGCCACGTGATGCTTTTTTAACGCGTGGAAGTCGACTCTCTGCATCTTTGTATACTGAGAGGTGCAAATCCCGATTTTATTATGTGCGACAAAAATTGCGCCAGGCTTGCCGAGGACACCGATGGCCCCCCTGTCGTCGCTTTTTGTACCCACCCTATACAAATATTGAGGTAAGCGAAGGCCGTAGGGAAATGCTTTGAGTGGGGACCCCTCGCACGTGCCATTCCCATCATCCAAGAAGGCAGGGGTCATCATAATCCGACAAGCATGGACGAGTCCAAGCGCAGCCCGGCCGCTGGCCACAGCAGCAAGGTCCTCGAGTTCAATGACGACCCGTCGCCGGCCAGCCACCACGAGAACGTCCTCTTTGAAGACGACGAGGACGACGACGAGGTCGCACCGGCGCCTGTGGCCCAAGCGCCCCGTGTCAACTTTGCGCCGGCGCCGACGAAGTTGCACCACCCGTCGTCGTCGTCTTCGTCGGCCTCGACCTTCAGCTCGTCGAGCTCGTCGAGCGGCCGGAGCGCGGCGACGATGATTGCGATGCTCCAAAAGCATGGCTACAACCTCGAGGACCCGGACGCGGCCGAGGGCGCGTCCATCTCGCTCAACTCGGCGAGCATTCTCCACCTCCGCGAGCGCAAGAACAACCAGACGGCGTTCCACATCGCGGCCAAGAAGGGCCACGTGGACGTACTCAAGGCGCTCATGAAGCTGCCGCGCGCCGAAGAGTTTGTCAACGTCCCGGACAAGATGGGCAACACGCCGCTGCACTTTGTCGCGTCCAAGGACAACGCAGACCTCCAGGAGCAGCTTGGCGGTCTCCTCCTCACGATGGGCGCCAACCTGCACGCGATGAACGTCCGCGGGCAGACGCCGCTCGAGGTGCACATCGTCACGGCGCGCGCCGACACGTCGGCGTTCGTGCACCTGATTTCGTTCCGGGGCATGAACCTCAACACGCTCGTGAACGGGACGACGTATCTGCACATGGCCATGGAGCGCGGGTACATTGAGATGGCTTGCGCGCTCGTCAAGGCCGGCGCCAGCGTCAACCTCCCGGACCACAACGGCGTCATGGTCTCGGACACGGTGAACCGCCAGACGCTCGTCAAGATGATCCGCTGCATGCGCGAGGGCACGCAGGCGCCGCCGCCGGACGTCCCGCGTGTCTCGTGCAAGCTGTGCAAGAACCCCAAGGGCCTGCTCGACTCGATCCGGGACTGCACGCTCTGCGGGCGCACCGCGTGCCGCAACTGCTCCAAGAAGCTCTCGGAGTTCAAAGAGTTCAAGGACCCAGAGGAAGCGCGCCGCGAGAAGATCGACAAGGAAGCGCTCGCCGCACGCTACTGCATCACGTGCGTCATGGTGCTTCAGCTGCGGGAGAAGAAGCTCGCTGACAAGAAGCGCTTCAACGACAGTCTGATGGGCATGAACCGCGTCTAAATAGTAAGAGGAAGCAACTACCGTCTTGTGGTACATGAGATCTTATTGCGTCTTATTGCGTTGGGCCCTCGCGGGCGAGCGCGAGCTGGTACTTTTCGTTGATCTCGACGCAGCTCTTGTCGTACGGGTACGAGTAGTCGACGAACGAGCCTAGGAAGAGGATGCTGCAGCGCAATAAAGGAGCCTTCGAGCGTACCAAGGACGCCGAGGATCGCGAACGGGTATAGGCTGCGCTTGTACATGCTGATGGGCATGCCGCCGAGGACGCCGCCGACGCAAAACTACGCATGGCCCAAGTCTTTCCTCCTGCGCACATCGTCAGCTAGACACGTACGGTGGTTTGGCGCTGGACCATGCAGCCCTGCAGCGCAGCTCGCAGCTCCTTGGCCGTCGGCTCTGCTCCGTGCTCGTCGGTCATCTTGCGACTTTGAAAATGGCCACCGACCGGCGGTCTCCGTATACATCCGGATAAACTACTTCGCACGTCTTGCTCATGATGAGAGCTTCGACTCGCTTGAGCCGCGCTCCAGCTCACTCCAGCTCGATGCATCCAGCGACAACCCATCCACACCCGCAGTGCAGCAGTGCAGACGTAATACTAACAGCATCACCAGCGCCTCGGTGGCTAATTCCGCGTCCTCGCCTGCGGTCGCAATTTCCGCACACCGGGCATCAACGACAATACGGCGACTAGCATCACCAACGCTCGTGTGACGCTCCACGGCGATGGCAAGCGGTGTGAGGCAGTGCGCTATTGCGGGACACGAGATACATGTACATGAAGATGATTGTCTCGTCGCCACGCCGGACGCTTATGTGTTGACCGAGTAGCGGTGGCCGCACTTTTTGCACTCGTAGAAGACGGTTTGGCCTTCATCGGCGGATCGCAGCTGCATCGTGTAAAACTCCATCTGCGGGTTGTTGCACTTGGGGCAGGGCTCTTCGACCGTCGCGCGCGCAGGGCCCGTCACCTCTTGCGACACGATCGCGTTCTTGACCCACTTGGGCTCGGGCCGGTCCTCGCTGAACGTCACCGTGCACAGCGTCGGCAAGTCTACAGCGGCCATGAGCGATATTGCAGTGGCGGTTCGTGGTATTACCTTGGTACTGGCAGGTGTAGCCGCAGGACGAGCAGACAATGTTGTTGGTCTCGGGCAGGTCCAGGATCGTGCCGCAGTGCGGACAGAAGGACGGGCCGCCGGCCGTCGCGCGCTTGGCAAAGAACTGGTCCATCGAGCTTTATAGCGAGTGACCGAGCCCACAGGGACGCGATTATCCGGATGCTGCGCTGACCAGTCATAGCGCGATACTATCCGGACGCCACCTTTTGCCACAATTAGCGTTGGCGCCGTTTTTGGCGCCTCGAAGGATGCGACGGACTGCGAGTCGACGCATCGACTGGGCATTGGGCCACACGTAGGCTGTGACCATGAACATGTAGAGCCGCTGTCCTACGTGAGGCTGCAGCTGTATGAAGATCGAGGTTAATCTGACCGCCCGTGTCCTGCGAGGCCACATAAAAGCGCCAACGTTCATTGACGACGAAGACGACGAAGAAGAAGCAGCAGCGAGACGCCTTCATCTCTTCCGCTTCAAAGGAGCAGTCGACGTTATGTATCGCACTAGCATCTATCTACACGGGCCAAGCCGATTCGGTAGCTAGCGAATCTGGCGCTAAAAATGCACACAGGCCCGGCGCCATCTTGAAACGCAGAGCTACCTGACATGGCGGTCCGCAGCACGGGCGACACAACGTGTACCTAGGATCCAGGCTCGCCTTGTCATCCAGGAGCATCGGCAGCGAGACCCGTCGAGTAAACCAACAACTTCTCGTCGCTTCGAGTCGAGGGACGCCCTTCGTTTTCGGGTTTCAAATCATCCGGATAACATTTGACTGGCCAATCAAACGCGGCGATTGCCATAGGGCGTAGCAAGTGCAAAGGCCATTCTCGAATTTTCACAGCCGACGATGGCCTCGACGATGCCAAAGCGCGTGCGCAAGTCCTCGGACGTCGCCGTCTATGGCGAGTACGCCGACTCGGTGCCCGAGATGGACGACTGGACGACGGCGCCGCACACGCTCACGGTTGGCTTGATCACGCTCGTCTTCTTCCTCTACAACATCTTCCAAGACAACGACCCGAGCGCGAGCTCGCTCGACGACCTCAAGCGCGGTATCTACTTTGCCTGCCTCTTCTTCCTCGTGTACTGCGTGCTGCAGCTGCGCGACGGCCATTTCCTCCGGCCGCACCCGGCGATCTGGCGACTCATCACCGGCATCTTCATCCTCTACGAGATGCTGCTCATTGTGCTGCTCTTCCTCAAGACGGACGATGCGCGCGCCTTCATGAAGCACTTTGACCCGACGCTCGGCGTCAAGCTGCCCGAGACAGGCTACGCGGACGACTGCCGCCTGTATGTGCCGGACGCCGACGACCCGTTCCGGAACCTCCGCGCGACCGTCATGGACCGGTTCGTCGTCATGCACTTCCTCGGCTGGGTCGTTGGTGCGCTCATGATCCGCTCGTACAACGTGTGCTGGGCGATCTCGATCCTCTTTGAGTTTTACGAGCTCACGTTCGCGCACTGGCTCAAGAACTTCAACGAGTGCTGGTGGGACCAAGTCTTCCTCGACGTGCTCATGTGCAACGCGGCGGGCATCTGGATCGGCATGCGCATCTGCCGCTTCTTCGAGATGAAGAACTACAACTGGGTCGGCATCCGCACGATCCCGACCGTCTCGGGCAAGGCGCAGCGTATGATGGCGCAGTTCACGCCCGTCAACTGGCTCTCGTACGACTGGAAGATGTTCCGGTCCGCGTCGCGCTTCTGGCAGGTCATGGGCATGGTCATCACGCTCTCGATCATGATGCTCAACTCGTTCTTCCTCAAGACGGTCCTCTGGGTGCCCGCGTCGAGCTACCTCAACGTCGTTCGCCTTTCGATCTGGTACTCGGCCGGCAGCTACGCGATCGCCGAGTACTACATTTTTATGACGTACTCGGGCCCGGACGTTGTGACGCCCGCCAAGAAGCTCGGTCCCCGTGCTTGGCTCGGCTTTGGCGTCGTCATCTCGGAGGTCTGCCTCATCCTCAAGCACGGCAAGGGCATGTTCACCGAGCCGTTCCCGACGACCGTCAAGATCGCGTGGCTCGTCGCCGGTCTCTTCCTCACCGTGGGCTCGACCATCTACTTTGTGTGCGTCCACCGCGCCCGCGACGCTGCCAAAAAGCAGCAGTAGGAATACCGATAAAGATTTCTGCATTGTTTCAATGTGTCAAGTGGTTATAAAACGGTGTGGGGTATCCGGAAGAACCTGAACAGACGAGGAGTTACTCGGTTGCCATCGGTTGGGCGGCGCCGACGACGCATGCTCCTTGGACCCCTCGACCTTCTTCTCCGAGCAACCAGGAAGCATGGGCCAAGTACACGCGACCTGCGGCGACAGCGAGAAGGCGCGCCGCCTCGACGCGCGCTGGGGCCGCGTGACGCTCGAGCAGCTAAGCGACGAGGCCTTCCTCACCAAACAGTTCCGGCGGTCGGGCTTTGCAGCGACGTACAACCAGTACCAGCGCCATCGCATGCATCTACTCGTGTCCAAGCCCGACGACGACGCCGACGCCGAGACCCACGAAGCAGACGACCTGGCACTGGGCGACGCCGTCATGGCCGTCGTGGACCAGGACCCGACGCTCCTCGCCCACTTTAGCATCCACCGCCTCCGAGACATCTTCGTGCGCAGCTGCGAGATTGTCGACCCGTTCCTCACCAAGCTCGAGCTGCAAAAGTTCCTTCTGCGCTCTGCCCACGACGCGCTCTCGTCGCGCGCGGGTGCGCGTGCGGAGACCACCGAGAGCGCTACAGTTGCTCTCAGCAGCGCCAAAGGCCGGAACATGCCCCACGATGCTCTCCTCGGCGTCCACGTTTTCCTCGCACTTGTCGCCAGCCTCCATGAGCCCGACATGCGCGAGGGCCGCGCCCAGCTGCTCTTGGACATGGTCCCGCTGGTGCAAATGTTGTCGCCGCTCGCCCTCGCGCCGACACCGCCGGGGAAGGGTCGCATCCGCACCGAGTCGCCCGACGCGCTTCTCGTGATCGAGCGTCTCCAGCATTTCCTCCTCGACATGTGTGCCGAGCCCGGCGACGTGAGCAGCGTCGCGATGCAAACGCTACTGCATCTTGCGATCGCGCGCGGCTCCGTGAGCACCTTCTTGCTCGCGATTCGCGTCTTGCTGAGCGCAACGGACGCCGCCTGCGACGCCGCTACCGACATCAAGAAGGTCGAGTTGCTACCCGATGAGAGCTTGCTCGACGACGACCTCGGGGCTCTCGACGTGAAATCGCTCCGCAAGCTGCCGCGCGTCGGACCGCTTCTCCGCGACTCGGACGAGATCGTCATGACGGCGCAGCTCAAGAAGAAGGCCAAGAGCATTAGCCCCGTGCACCCGATCTCGGGGCCAACGTCATCTAGCCCGAGTCCGAAGAAGAACAACGTCCGCGACAAGCCGCTCAAAGCGGACACGAGCCTCGCGCCGCGGCCGAGCCGGTTTCAGTCGCTTGAGATCGAGCCGATTGTGTCGGTGCTGCGCGCGGCGACACCGCGCGAGTCAGCCGACGCTGGCGTCGCGGTTGACGACGAGGACGAGCGCGAGGTGTGGAGCTGCGGCCAAAACTCGTACGGGGAGCTCTCTCATGGCGACACCAATCCGCGACGCGCGTTTGAGCGCATCGAGACGCTGCAAGGCAAGGGTATTGTGCAAGTCTGCGCCGGCAACGAGCACACGGTCGCCTTGAGCGGAGACGGCACCGTGTTCACGTGCGGCTACAACGACAACGGGCAGTGCGGCCAGGGCACGACGACGCGCGTCGCGTCCATGACACCGATTTCCAAGCTCGACGCGGGTTTCGAGCACGGCGTCAGTCAGATCCACGCTTACAACGGGTGCGAGCACACGGTGATTGTCAACGGCGATGGTGCGGCTGCGGCGTTCGGGTACAACTACCGCGGCCAGCTCGGGCTTGGGTCCACGACCAGCGAGAGCGTGCCCAAGGTGCTGCGAGGGCTGGACATGACAAAGCGCGTCAAACTCGTCTCCTGCAGCTACTACCACACGCTCCTGAGCGTCGACGGCGATGCGGTGTACGCCTTTGGGCGCAACGACTACGGGCAGCTCGGGCACAACGACACGATGGACCGCCGGTCGCCCGCCCCTGTCGACGCACTCGCCAACGTCCCGCTGAGCTCGGTCGCGTGCGGCCAATACCACAGCACGGTCGTGACAACGTCCGGCGTCATCCTCGCGTTTGGGAAGAACGATTACGGCCAGCTCGGCGTCGACGGCATCGAGAACCAGCTCGTACCAATGGTCGTCAAGAGCGGCCTCGAGCGCTTCGTGTGCACCGAGGTTCGCTGCGGCTACTACCACACGATTGCACTCTGCGTCGGTGGCCACGTTTACGGATTTGGCCGCAACGACTATGGACAGCTCGGCATCGGCGAGGCTGCAAATGCCCAGCAGCGCATCGCGGTTCCGACGCTCGTGCCCGAGCTCGAGGGAAAAGACATTGTCCGCATCGCCTGCGGCTGCTACCACACCCTCGCGGTCGCCGACAACGGCATGCTGTACGCCTTTGGGCGCAACAACCACGGCCAGCTCGGGACAGGGGACACGAACGAGCGGGTCGTGCCAACGCCGATCGACGCCTTTGTGGGCAAGCGCATCGCGATGGTCGCGGCCGGCTTTTACCACACGGTGGTGCTCACGGGCGGAAAGGACGTGGCCGAGCTAACGCCCGCCGAGTCGGTGCTCGAAGCAACAGACAGCAGCGCGTTTACACCCGAGGCGGTGCTGGCCGACATGGCGGCGTTCGTGGCGCCAGGAAAACCAAAGCCGCCGCCGCGCACCGCGTCGCAGCCGCTCCGCGCCCTCGTGGACCCGTCGTTTGACCTGGATCCGGAAGACGAAGAGGCCGAGGCGTCGCTCGTAGCGCCCGAGCGCCCGCCGCCGACTGCCGCGTTGGGCCACGTGCAAGCCGCCGTGTGCCTCCTCGCCCACTTGGATCGACTCTCGCGCGCGTTTGCGCCACGCCGACATGTGTACCCGTCGCTCGCGGCTCCGACACCCAAGGAAGGCGCGGCCGGGCGCTTCGAAACCTACTGCGTCGACGTCCATAGCTCGACGTTCCTCGCGGTCGCCGACATCATCACGCGCGGGTGTCTCGGGCGCGACGGCGAGGCGGCGCAGACCCAAGTGTACATTCTATTGGCGTCGCTTCGGGTGCTGCAGGCCAACGTGACGCAGCTCGTGCGCTGCGGTCTCGGGAAGCGCCTCGTCGCTACACAAGCGCTCGTCGAGAAGGAGCCCGATATGGAGAGCCTCCGGAGCGCACTGCACCGAGTGCATGCGGTGTTGATCTCGCTCATCGACGTGCCAAAAAGCTTGCGCGACGGCGACAACCACGCGGGCGTCGTCGACGGCAAGAACCAGCTCGTGACTGCGGCTGTCGAAACCTTGCTCATCGGCTTTGAGCTCTTCTACCCGTGCCAGTGCACCCAGACGTCGGTGATCTTCTCGGTTCTAAAGGACACGGCACCGGTCATGGTGGCGGGCGGGTGTGCGTGTGGTGCCGGGACGCCGCCACCGATCCCGCGCAACCGAAAGGTCGTGCTCGAGCCACTTCTCCGGCGCATGGCAGATGACGCAATCCTCGCGCAGTTCATACCTCAGTCACCACAGGCGGGGACCGAGAGCTTGGAGAGTCTGGCGAGCGTTCTGGTCGAGCGAATTGGGGTGCAGACGATGGCGCTGCTTGCCAAGTCGGAGAAGGACGAGCTTCGCAGTGCCGACGCCGCCTTCCGCCCGTACGTTGTGCTGTTGAACGCGATGCAAAAGCAGCTCGCGAGCTGGGCCGGCAATGTCGAGTCGTGGACGCGGACAACTGTCGACATGCCCGTGCTCGACAGCGTGTTTCGCCTGACGCCGGACGCCGCCGGGCGTCTTCCCCGTGGCTGGCGCTGCTACATTGAGTTTATAACCACGGTTTTCGAGCACTGTACGAGTGCCATCAAGACGGTGAGTGTCCAGACTAGAGTGCGCGACGACGTCCTCGAACTTCTTCGCGTCTCGATGGTCGGCACAGTCTTGCCGGCGCTCGCCACTACGCATTTGCTTCTCTGTGACCGCCCCCTCTTTGCCATTGCGCTACTAACCCCGCTGTTGGACCTTCTCCGCCTTATTGACGGCCTGAACGCCCGGCTCGCTGTGGTGCGCGAGGCCGAGCGTCACTACATGGAGGCGCTTTGGCTGTACCAGGCGCCGCAGCCGCCGGCGACCGCGTCGTTGGACCTCGTACACAACTTGCATTGGCTCCTCACGCTTCAGAAACTGCTTGCGCAGGTGGCGAGTACGATGACGCACACGCTCTTGCTCGGAGAGAGCGCGCAGACGACCCCGGCAGTGGACGAGACGGCGCTCGCGTGGCTGAGCAGTCCGCTCTTTGCTCACGGGTTCGAGGCGCACGTGTTTGCTGCACTTGCCGAGCACGGGCGAGCGGTGCGCCACGCACCGCTGGCCGTTTCGAGTATGACACTGCCGCTGCCGCCACCACAATCCTGTGATCGGCTCCGACTGCTGGTGCAGATGCAAGACGGCGAACACGAGCGCCCGAGAGCGTTCTGCGCGTGGATACGAGCCGCGTACGCCCGCGTCGACGCCAGCTACCGCTTCCTTCTCAAGGCATCCCACGCCCTTGACGAGCGGCTCGAAAATGCCTTCTTCGCCGTCCTCATCAAGCGACACGACCTGACTGGCGACGCCGAGCTCTGGGCGGTGCGGTTTGCACCGGCAACCGCGCCCCCGCGACGACTGCTCGACCAGTGGCACTTTGTGGCCGACCTCTCACGCGGGTTTGCCCAGCTCAAGAATGCGCTGCTAAACCAACAGGCGGCATCGACGCTCGATGACGTCGCGAACCTTCGAAGTCGCTTGCTCACAGCGACGCAGTTTTTGTTTACTCTGGCGAGTGACGTCGACGACGAGGCCACCGTCGTGACCATGCCATGGGACCCACCGACGACTAATTCGACGACGTCCGAGACTGCGTTCTTGGCCCAACACCCGCGGTCACGCTGGCGTCGGGTGCGCTCGTTGCTGCACACGATCGTCCGGTGGAAGCACGTGCTTCGTCCCCGAGGCGACATCGTCGGCAAGGCTGCGATTCGGTTTTTGCTCGCGGACGTCGACCTCTGCGGCCTGCAGCGCGCTCTCTTTGACCGGTGTCGTCGCGCGGCCTACCGAGCACGAGGCTTCGAAGCCGTCGTGACGCTGCTATCGCACATCACGCTGCAAAGCAGCGTCGTCGACGTGTATGCGAGCGTCGGGCGCAGCCTCCGCGGTCCTCTTGATGGCCGCGTACTCGTCGGTCTCGACGGCGTTGGTGCGTTCTACGAGGGCCTCGTGCGAGCTGCGTTCGGACAGCTTCTCTCGCGCATCACATCGGCGCTGTCGAGCACTTCCTTTGAAGACGAGCTCGTATTTCGAACGCCTCTGCTCCTCGCCCTTTTGCAGTGCTGGACGATCGCGATCGAGCCGACAACGTACGACCTCGTCGCGCATCTCGAGCTCGTGCCGACGCTGCACCGACTCCGGCGCGCGGCGACGGCGGCGCAAAAGCTCGCCAAGCCCGACGTACTCGGCTTTCTGCGCAGAAGCGACAGCGCGCTGTGGGCAGCGATGCGGTACGTATTCGCATCGTTTGCGGCCCGGGCGACCGACCACGGCGCGCTTCAAACACCCAAGCGTCCGCTTCTCGCACGCTGTTTTGCTGTGCTCCAAAAAGAGGCCGAGCTGAGCTTGGCCCTGATGGTCCCGGCGTTCAAGGTCGAGCACGACCTAATCGTTGTGGCCGCCGGCGACGACGACAAGGTGGTCAAACGAAGCCATGACGTGATCACGTCACCAATGTCCTTTGGCGGCCTCGACCAAGGCGTGGGATCCGACTTGACACCGCTCTTGCCCCTGGGGCACGACTGCAACGACCTTAGTGTCACGTTCTGGATCTACGTCGACGGCGCCAAAGCGAGCGCGGTCGCCAAGCAGTTTGTGTTTGCGCGCACCAGCCGACGTGACGTCGCTCCGTACTGCGTGCTGTACGAAGCCAACGACGGCGACGACGACAGCAGCGAGTACGTTGTCGAGATCGGCGTCGTCGCCGGCGACGGCCACGACCGCCTCCAAGCCATCGAGACGGCGTCGTCTAAAACGCCGCTGCTGCCCAATCAGTGGTACCACGTCGGCATCGTGCTCGAAGGCCCCAAGCTCCGGCTTTTCATCAACGGTGCGCTTGAGATTCAAAGGGTGCTCTCGGCATCGGTCTCGCTCGTCGGCGCTGGCAGCGTTTGCGTCGGCAAGGCGGCGTCGCCTGTCGCCGAGATGCTGAGCGTCCACACGGGGCTGCAAGGCATGTTGGCGCAGGTGCGCGTGCACAGCCGGGCGCTCTCGGGCATTCATCTGCACATATTATTTGACCAAGGCCCGCCACCGCTGTACACGGAGACGGACCACGGATGCTATCAGATCGGAGCGCTGCTTCAGCTCTTGGCGCAGAGCAGCGAAGGCGCCGTCGAGCTCCTATCGCCGCGTTGGCTGCGCGTCGTGCTTTGGATGCTGCGCGGCGGGACCTACCGCGTCCAGCAGCAGGCGCTGCGCCTCTTTGCAAAGCTCCTTCCGCGCGTGCCGCCGGCGTCGGTGCCGTTAAGCCAGTTCTTCGTTGCCGACGGCGGGTCGCTCGTCCAGTACTTTGTACGTCTCGTCGGGTTTGGCCTCTGGCGCTTTCACGCCGTGCCAGGTGCCGGCCCCAAACTCGGCGTTGACTTTCCGCTCAACCTCGCCGCGCATTCGCTGAGCTTCCTCGAGTACGCCGGTGACAACTGCTTGACGACCGAGACAGAGCGCAGCCTGCATCTGGCCATGGAAACGTGCCGCCTCCTCACGACGCTCGCCGCCGACGCAACGTGGGCGGAGGCCGTCGCGGAGCATCTCGCAACCTCTCTGGAGGTTATGATGCGTCGCTGCCGCGAGTCGGCGGCTGCCGACGTCACGGTTGTCGGGAAAGCGCGGCTTGCGGCGGACGCCCTGGACGTTGCCGCGGGTCTCGGCGCACTCGCCGTGCTCGGTGGCGCCATTGACACGGTGCGCATCGGAGCTGTCATGGAGCTCAGCCACGGGCGAGACCTCGGCACCGTCGTCGCGTTTGACCCGTCGCAGACGTTCGCCCAGCTCGTACTGCAGAAGATCGCCACGACCACCGACCACGTGACGACGCATGCATCCTGGAGTGCCAGTGTCCACGCGACCCCCTTGAATATGGACACATGGAAAGTTCTCCGCCTCAACGTCGACGAACTTGCCGTCTCGTCGTCCGACACGCAGCTGTCGACGCGGTTGCGTGCACTCCTGCTCCACGCGGCGTCATCCATATGCAACGACGGAGCGAGCACGCCGTTGGGGCGTCAGAGCCATGCGCGTGCGCTCAAAGCCTTGGCCGTGGCCGTGCGGTTCCAAGAGACATCAGCGGAGCTGTTGCGGGCGCACCCGTCGCTCTTCCAAAGCCTCTTGAGCCTCGCCGTTCAAAGCGACGGGTCGTTGGAGTTCATCACCCTGGCCGAGGCCGAGCTCAAAGCAGTGCTGTTGCGGCGACGGCAGTATGAGCTCTCGGCAGCAGCGGTCGAGTCCACGACCATAGCAACGACCCAACGAGCGGACACGTCCCGCGACCGGCCACCGACGGCGGTCGGAAAAGGGTCGGAAGACGACCTTGGCGACGACGAAGCGGACGACGAAGCGGACGACGAGGACGACGAGCGCAATGGAGAGGACGACGAAGACGAGGACGAAGACGAGGACGAAGACGACGAGGACGATGCCGACGTCCGCGCCGAGCTCGTCGAAGAGCTCTCACTCATGGGGTTCCCGGAAGATTGGTGCGTCATGGCGCTCAAGCACACGAGCAACGACATTCTATCGGCATCCGCGTGGATCGTCGACAACCTCGACTACTTCAACTCGCTCCAGGCCGCCAAGGACAAGGAAGAGCGGGAAAAAGACGCGCGGCTGGACGTAAACGAAGAAGAGGACGATGCGCCCGACGCATTATCGTCGTCGTCGTCGAGTGCCGTCGTCTCGCCGACGCTCCTCGATGACGCGTTCGCAGACAAGGAGACGGGCCGCAAGGTGTTTGGCGAACTCTACTTCCCGTTCGAAGAAGGTGGGTTCCTCTCCAACTGCAGCCACCTCTTTCTCGACGCCAAGCTCGGGAATGCGTCGCCGCCCCTCAACATGCTCGAGAGCCTTTCGCGCTTCCAGCAAGAGCTCCGCGCCTGGAGCGCCACCGACGTGCTAGCTGCGGCTGCGGCCGCCGAAGCGTCGCTCAGCATCCTCTACGCGCGCCAGATTGTGGCCACCGCGCTCTCCCACGTCGCCTGGCTCCCGGCGAGCGACCTTGGAATTCTGCTGCGCTTCTCCAAGACCGTGCTCTTCCGGGGGCCGCAGGTCGTCTTGCGACACGTGGACGCCGGTGTACGCTCAACGTTTGCACCCGACCGCGTCGTCGCCAGCCTCGTCACCGACGCACTGCACAAGCACCTACAGACGTTTGGCGCGCTGCTCTGCGATGCGATAGCAACCGAGCTTTTAGCTGCCTGCGATGTCCGCTTTGAAGGGTACCTCTGGACGCAGCGCGACGTGCACCTCGGCGACGCTGCTGCTCTGCTCGAGCCCAGCATTGAGTTTGCGGCGTGGCTCCTAGACCGGTTCTTTGCGCAACCAACTTGCTTTCAGGCCTATTTGGAGACGACTCCGTCGCCGACTGACACTCTGCAGGCGTTGGTGCGGCGCCTTTTGCCGTGCTTGGCGAGCTCCAACTTGGCGCTCAAGCTCGTCGTGTTTCGGTGTCTCACGCTTTTGCTTGCCCACACGTCGTTCGCAGACGCCGCAGTGAAAGCGTCGCTCTGTGCGATACCGCCACTGCACGTCGACTGTCTCCTCCTTGCCGCCCGACGCCGGCATTTGCGCGAGATTGCGCAGAACCGGCTGTACTTTTCGCCGTATTTGCAAGGGCTCTTGGAGCTGGTTCGGGTTGTGCAGCCCCTTAGTGCTGGATTGCCCTTGAGCCTGCAGCTGGTCGCTGCCACAGAGATGTCGGTGACTGTCGCGTGGCCTTCGGGGGGCGACGACAACGATGCGTTTGTCGTCGAAGCCGTCGACGCTGACGGCAACTACACTGAGTGGTACTCGGGTCGCGATCTCCAATGCACGCGCGTCGGCTTGCGTCCGCAAACGTCGTACGACTGTCGACTGCGGCGTGGCGCGGCGTCGACAACCACGGTCGTTGCCACCAAGTCTGCGCGTGACACGACCGCCGAGTCAGTGCCGTTCACGCTCGATAAGAAAAAGTGCCGGAGCAGCGCGCTCACCTTCGGAGACGACGGGCTCGGCGTCGCGTACAGCGGCAACGAGGCGTGGCGCATGGTACTCGGCTCGGAAGGCTTCGTCGTCGGCCGGCACAAGTGGCAAATCAAAATCGACAAGTCGTCGTCTGCGTACCTCTTCCTCGGCGTCGCGTCCAAGCGCGCGAACCTCGAGTCCTTCCTCGGGGCGGACGAGCACAGCTGGGGCTTTATCGGGGACGGCGCGCTCTATTACCAGCGCAACCGCCTCAAGACGTACGGCGACACGTTCGGCGAAGGCGACGTTATCGGGCTCGACCTTGACTGCGACCTCGGGACGCTCTCGTACTCGAAGAACGGCGTCGATCTCGGCGTCGCCTTTGACAACGTCATCGGGGAACTCTTTCCCGCGGTCGCGTTCTACTCGCGCCACCAAAAGATCTCGCTCGTCGCCAACGGGTTTGAGTGCAGCGTCGGCCTGACGCTCCACGGCTCTCCGAAGGATGCGACCATCGACGAGTACCTTGGCGTCTGTGCGGTCATGGAGTGCATGGTGCAGAGTGCTGCGTTGCAGCCACCGCTTCTGCTGCGGGCGTACGACGCCTACACTCAGTGGTGCAACGAGACACGCGCGCGGTGCATGACACGCGCCGGCTACGATCTCCTCTTTGACGTCTCGGACGCCACGTGCGCTCCGTTCGGCTTCAAAGCCCACGACCGGGTCAAGACCCCGCGCGGCAACGGCACGGTCGTTGGTGTGGCCGACGGACGGCTTTGGATCGAAACCGAAGCCGAGGCGGGCTGCTGGTTCTACGACCCGAGCAAGGTGCGTCCGCGACAAATCAACGTCCAGTCGGCCAGTGAGCCGTCGGCAACGGCCGCCAAGGCGCAGCCCGCCATCAGCCTCGACGCGTTCGCGGCCTGCGCCGACTGCCACCACTGGAGCGTGGCCAAAGACGCAGCGCTGATCGCAACGCTCAACGGCGTCTGTGGCCTCGGCGGGCCGAGCCCGTGGAACATCTCGGTGGAGAAGGTCACGGATGTGTTCCGCAGTGAGTCTTCGTCCGAGGCGGAGCTCGGGCGCATCGTCTGCCGCGTTGCGCTGCTCAAGCTCTTCAACCACGACGTGTCTCGTACGATCGGGTTCTTTGACTTGAGCTGGCACTACTTTGGGCCGCGCCAGAGCTTCCAGAACGCGTCGCTGCTTGCCGCCACGAAAGGCTCTCTCTTCGTCTCGCTCAAACTGGCACTGCTCGACACGCTTCTCGAGAAGACGCTGACGCACCCGAAGAAGGCCGAAGACGACTACGACTACCCCGAAGACCTCCCGCAGCTCGTGGTCAACCGCCCGAAAGCGGCTGTCGCCCACTTCAAGTCGGACCTCGAGACGCTCGTCGGCCAGAGTCTTTTCGGCCAAGCGTTTGACGAGCTCCATTTTCTGGACAACAAAGTGTTGCGCATGGTAGACGACTCGAACATTACGCTCGGATTCTCATGCGCGAGGTTAGGTCTACTCGCATCCGATGGACGACGGCCAGCTGCGCACGTTCAAGGTCAAATTCGAAGGCGAAGGCGCCGACGACTATGGCGGACCGTACCGCGAGTTCTTTTCGCAGTTTGCCTCGGAGCTCCAGTCCATCAAACCCGGTGCGTTTTGCGTCCAAGCCATGTATCTCATCGTGCAAAGTAGACTCGGCCGACTCGACCGACGGACTCCAGTGCATCCTTCCGTTCCTGATGCCATGTCCCAACTGGCGCAACGGCGTCGGGTCGCACCGCGAGCGCTTCGTCTTGAACCCGTCCTTGCTTCGCTACGACGCCAAGTGGAACAAGGGCTCAGCGACGCACCCGGTCGACAACACGGGTCTTTTTTTGGAAATGTACCATTTTCTCGGGCAAATTCTGGGCATCATCTTGCGCACCAAAGTGCTCGTGCGCATCGACTTTGCCACGAGCATCTGGAAGCGGCTCGTGGGGTCGCCCGTCGATGCGTCCGACCTCGCTGCCGTCGACGCGTCCGCCTACGCGCTCCTCGAGCAGCTCAAATCGCTCTTGGCGCAGCATGGCACCGAGCCAGCGGTCGCCGAGGCGACGCTCGATGCACTGGACCTCAATTTTACCACGAATCTCTCAGACGGTTCGATGGTCAACCTCACGCCGGACGGCGCCGACCGACGGGTCACGTGGGCCGACCTGCCCGAGTACATGGAGAGAGTCTTGGAGACACGACTGCACGAGAGCGACCGCGCGATCGATGCGATCAAGCAAGGTTTGTGTACGATCGTGCCGGCCAACGCCGTCGCGCTCTTCTCGCACGACGAGCTCGAGGTGCGCATTTGCGGCCGAGCTGAAATCGACGTCACGCTGCTCATGGCGCACACCGAGTACGACGAAGACGTGAGCGCGGACGACGCGTTCGTGCAGCGCTTCTGGCGCGTGCTCGACGGGTTCAGCCAGGACGATCGGTGCGCGTTTCTCCGCTTCGTCTCGGCGCGGTCCCGCCTGCCCATGGACCAGCACGGGTTCACGCAAAAGTTCAAGATCCAGGCGGCGTCGGGCGAGGGCATGACGCAGAACCCGGACGACTCGCTGCCCAAGTCGCACACGTGCTTCTTCGCGCTCCTCTTGCCCAAGTACTCGACCGACGACGTGTGCCGCAAGCAGTTTCTCTACGCGATCCACAACTGCCTCGAGATGGACGGCGACTTTCGCCTCGCCGACACGGAGATGACGGGCTGGAACGACGTGCACCCGAACGACGCGCTGCGCATTTGAACCAGAATATATAGTAGAGTAGGAGTAGGTGTATAGGGTCCATATAACACGGCGACAAAGCCCGTGCTTGCTTCAGTCCGAGCAACTCGGAGAGATGTGTCTCCAACTAGTCGTCGCCCTGACTCCAGCATTTGAACCCAAAAATCATGGTGGGCCGGTGTGGAGCCCAAGCTGTCGCAGCGCAGAAGCCTCGTTACGAGGAGTACACCTCACAGATCGCTGTGTGCAGAATGCGTTATCTGTACTGTCACCGACTGCTGGATATGACCATGAACGTTCTAGAGTTTGTGCGTCTTAGCGCTACAGGTCTGTATGAGACAGCAAGTGGATGTGGGCAGCAACACCCAGCTCCGTCCGTCGTATGGACCGCACTCCTGTCCACTTCAACAATGGACTGCAACCCCACTCGCGCGTGTCGCAGTCACAGATCGCGTCCGTGTGTCAGTCATTCCCTCGTCATTACCCAACGTGCGCGATGACACCAACAGCAACGCGTCTGTGGTGCGAGGCGCAGAGTGCTATGGCCGTGCTGACCCAGCCGCATCTTGCGCGGTGCATCTTTGCGTACCAGTCAAGCGCTCTCTCGATGGCGCTCGCCCTGACCTTTCGGCGACTCAAAGCAGCGCTGGCGCGGAATCCAGCCCTTGTCGTTGCCGACGGTGCGCCATTCAGAGGCTACGTCTTGTGCAAACTCGTCGAAGCACGGCAGACGGCGCTGGCCCTCGAGCTCTTGCGCTGCTTTTCAGCGCCGTACGCACTTCGCCTGGCGGCCATCGATGACGCCAGCGTCTACGCCATTGACAACGCTGTGCGCACACAGAACGTCGAGCTGCTCCGGCGGCTCCTCGAACGTGGTTTTGGCAAATCGTCCACGGCCGCCATGGACACGGCGGCCGCCAACGGCAGCGTGATCATGCTGAAGCTGTTACACGAGTACCGCTCGGACGGCTGCACCAAGGTCGCGTTTCAAGCCGCTTCGGAGCATCGACATACCCACGCTCTAGCGTTCCTTCGCCGCTACCGACCACTGGATGTGAACGTACAGCCTCCGCGGAGAGTTACCGGTGGGTTTCTCCCGCCCGAGCTCGCCAGAGCCGTGGGGTCGGGCAGCATGATGCCTCAACCGTCCGACACGATGCAATGTGTCGTTCAGTAGCAAGCCCTCGCATTCGATTCCCTTTTTGCGCCTTTCCAAGAATAAGAAACTACAATCTCATTGCTCCAGAACGTGTCTCAGGCGGTTTTCAGAGTGAAGGTCAAACGATCTTTGACAGGAATGTTTGTGTGACATGGATGCCAGCGCTGACGTGGAGATTAGTACTCGCCTTGGACGCGCGCGTTGGTCGGGTCAAAGACGCACTTGGTGTGCAGCGTCGCGGGCACGCGTCGCTCGTTGAGCGTCTCGATCTCGTAGACGCCGTCCTTGACAAACTTGGGCGTGACGACGGCGCCGTCCGGGTGCTGGATGTAGCCGTACCCGACGCTCTTGCCGACGCTGTGGCCGAACGCGCACCGGCGCACAAACCCGACGCACGTGCCGTCGCGCCAAATGGCTTCGTTGCCCTTGAGCGGAATGTGCTCGTTGGGCGTGAGGCAGATGAGCTTCTTGCTGACGCCGTTGGCTTTCTGCTTCGCAAGGACGTCGCGGCCGCTAAAGTCCTTGTCGAGTTTGCACGTAAAGAGCATGCCGGCCTCGACCGGCGTATCGTCGCTCCGGAGGTCCTCGTGCCAGTGCTTGTAGCCCTTCTCAACACTCAGCGCGTCCATCGCCAAGTACCCGGCGTTGCGGATGCCGAGCGCCTCGCCGGTCGTCCAGAGCGCGTCGTACACGGCTTCACACGCGTCTTTCGGGATGTGCAGCTCGTACCCGAGCTCGCCCACGAACGTGAGCCGCAGCATGCGGAAGGTGTACCCCGCCATCGTCACTAGGCGGTGCGTCGAGAACGGAAACGCGTCGTTGGAGAGGTCGGCGCCCGTGAGCTTCTCGAGGAGCGGGCGACTCAGCGGCCCTTGAACGCTAAGGACACCAAAGTCATCGGTAAAGTCGGCCAGTGACGTCTTGGGGAAGCGCCGCAACAGCGATGCAATCCACGCAAAGTCGTGCGTGGCCGAGGCACCGCCGGCCGTGATGTAGAACGTCGTGTCGTCCACTTGGCTGACTGTGAGGTCGCACTCGGTGCCGCCCGCGGCGTTGCACATGAGCGTATACACGGTCGCGCCCGGGCCCTTCATTTTGTTGGTGCAAATGTACTCGATGGCCGCCGGCGCGTCGTCGCCCGACAGGACAAACTTGCCAAAATAGCTCTGGTCGAAGAGCACGACAGTCTCGCGGCAAGCGCGGGCCTCGGCGCCGACAATCTCGTGGCTCCCGGGCCACCCAAAGGTGTTGTCGGCCTCGATCGCGCGCAAGTACGGGTCGTCCGCGTGCGGCGTATGGTTGTAGTTGCCGTAGTAGGTGTAGGGTTTGACCGCCACGTCGCCTTGGCTGCGGACGTCGGCAAAGTACCCTGGGCGTTCGTAGCCGTGGCGCGTCTGGAAGACGCAGTTGGCGGCCTTGAGCTTGGCGTGGAAGGGCGTGAGGCGGACGTTGCGGCCGCCGAGGGGCTCGTCGTGCGGGAACACGATCGAGTAGTTCTTGGCGTACGCCTCGTGCGACCGCTCCCGGTTCCATCGCTGGTGGCCGAGCATGCTCAGGTGGTAGCGCTGGATGTCGTACGAAAACATGTCGATCGTCGGGCGACCGGCCGTGACCCAGTGCGCGAGCTGCTGCCCTGCGCCGCCCGCGAGCATGATGCCCGCCGAGTTGAAGCCGCAGCCAAGGAAGAAGCCTCGGACGCCCGGCATCTCGCCGAGGAGCGCCTTGTGGTCGGGCGTGAACGACTCGGGCCCGCACACTGTCGAGCGCACGCCCGTGGCTTCGATGATCGGGACGCGGTTGACCGCGCCGTTGATGTGCGTCGAGAAGACGTCCCAGTCCAAGTCAAAGAGCGAGAACGCAAAGTCGTTCTGGACGTTCTCCCAGAAGATCGGGTTGGGCTCGTAGCCGCCGACTTGAAGGACGTCGCCCTAGCTACTGTGAGCGACTGCATGAAGAGGTTCCGAGTACCTGCAGCTTGAGGTACACCGAGGCGTCGTGGTCCCGAACGTTGGGCATGTTTTGAATGCCCTCGATGCGCTCGGTGACGACGTACGCGTGGTGCATGGCGCAGAGCGGAATGTCTTTTCCCACCATCTTGGCGATGTAGTTGGACCAGACGCCGGCGGCGTTGACGACACGCTTGGTGCGGATGACGTGGCCGCCACCGAGTTGGACGCCGACGACCTGCGTCTCGTCCTTGCCGGCGGCTTCCGTGAGGATGGCTTCGACGGGCGTCTTTTCAAAAATCTTGGCTCCATGGAGCTTGGCGCCTTTGGCCAAGGCCGCGACCCAGCTCGACGGGTCGATGGTTCCGTCGCCCGGCGAGTAGAGCGTGCCCTTGAGGTCCGAGACATTCATGAGCGGGTACAGCGCTTTCGTGTCGGCCGGCGACAGCACCTCAGCGTGGATGCCAAAGTACTTGCCGAGCGTCGCGAGCCGCTGGTACTCGGAGAGGCGCTCCGCATTGGCCGCGATGAAAAGGCCACCGTTCTCGACCCAGCCCGTCGAGACGCCAGTCTCGGCCTCGAGCGTCTTGGCCAAATGCCGCGTGTGGTTGATCTAACACACTTTGCACATGAGTCGACGCGGTCGGTGGCGAGGCGACGCACGAGCTGAATGTCAATGTCGCTGGGCCGGAGCCGCCAAAGGAGACCGGCGCTGTGCCACGTCGTGCCGGCCGTGAGCTGGTCCTTCTCGACGAGCACGGCGTCGACGCCCATTTGGCTCAAGTGGTACAAGGTGGACGCGCCGATGGAGCCGCCGCCAATGACGACGACGTCTGCGGACGACGGGAGTCCCTCGGTTGGCGCCGCCGCCGAGAACGGACGCGACCACGAGGCCAGCGACGGGCGCCGAACGTGCTTCTGGAGGTACCGGCGCATGGGGAAATGGGCTTCGGGGATGACCAAAGATCTTTCGGAAAGGCGCACTTAGCGCGGAACTTCAACCAGCAAGTCAGCACGAATTCGCTTAGATAAGGTCGTAAAGAGCGATTTCGAGCACCATGACAAGATTTGCCCGCAACAAATTAGGTAGAAAGAACCAAGCAACAGTCGTACACTGCAAGGCTCCAGATACTCCGTCCAATATTTGGCTGGGTAGCGTCTCGGTGGCGGCGAGTTGCGCGTGTTGTTGACGCAATCGTTTAGGGCAACGGAGATTAACGCACTTTTTAAGGTAATGTCGACGCGCTGGGCGGCGCTCGATGCCATTGGCTGAAATTTAGTTGGAATTTCGAATGTTGAAGCGAGTGGCTCCGCTTTTGGCCGGCGTCCAGCGCCGCTTCGCGAGCATCGACACGGGCTGGCCGACCCGCAAGGTCGTCGAGAACCACAGCGCGCGCGGCAAGTACGAGGTCGTCAAGGAGCTCGAGGTCGGCCTCGTGCTCGTGGCCTCCGAGGTTAAGAGCATCCGCGACGGCAACTGCGATATCTCGGCTGCCTTTGCCGCCGAGTACGCCGGCGAGCTCTACCTGCATCAAATGTACATTCCCGGTACGACCATCGACTTTACTCGGCGCATTGACTGATCAAGAATGCAATACAAGTCTGGCGACATGGCATCATTGGGCGCCACGAGACGTACCGCGAGCGCAAGATCCTCGCCCATCGGCACGAGATCAAGCGCATCATCGAGTTTGCTCGGCAGCCCAACGCGCACTTGGTAGGGAAGCATCGGCAGTCATCGCGTCAACTCATGGCGAAGGGTAGGTGCCTCTGCGCGTGCACCTGGGCACGACCAACTGGATCAAGATCCAACTGGGTCTCTGCACCAAGAAGAAGGGCCCCGACACTCGCAAGCGCGAAGACGAGCGCGACGTAAAGCAGCAGATTCGCCGCGCGCTGAAAAGCGACGACTACTAACTAGACTTGACTTCCTTGCGCTGCGTGCATGCATCTAGCACATGACACGCCCAACGACGCACTTGCTGCCAGTGATACCGACAACTGTTGCCAGTATGGTCAGTCGCCGCCTCGAAGCGCCGCACACGCGATGCTCTGCGCGTGCGTCACTGTGGGCACTGCGGTGTTACGTGGCAAGCCGCCCGTACAGTACGACAATCCAACCCCACGGTAAACAGACCAGTAGGCTACGTATGGACGCGCTGATCCATGCAGATCATAGAGGTATCCATCGTGTCCATGTCCCGTCGGCGGTGCAGCTCTGGACCACGACGACGACGGCCTTGCCGAGGGCTTGCCCATCCTGTCGTGTCCTGCGATAGTATGACCAACGGGTGCGTCACACGGTTCAGATGGCACCATTGGACCAATCAACGCGCATGGCGGGTGGTATTTCAGCCAATCGCTTGCGATGATGAGGTCCCCAAAAAAATCCATTTTGGATACCGGATACCGGCGAATCGGCAGCCAGTATAAGAACCATCTCTGCCGGCTATCCGGATAATCGAACTCTGTCGTTTGGACCGTTTTTCGGTGGTCGTATGACACAACGGACTCTCGCGTTACCTTCGCGGTCGAGGCCAGCAGCAGCAGCAGCATGACGAGTGTGCGGAGCGACCGCAGCTACCTCCGTCCAAGCGAGTCGCACTACCGAGCCTCAGAAGCAGAGGACAATCGGCGACCCATCGTCAGCGACGTCAACGACGTGAGCCTCCTCGCCGAGCCCTCGGTGCGGGCCAAGAACACAATGTGGAAGCTCGGGCAGCGCATCACGTACTCGGCCGAAGCGCGCTTCTTCACCTTCCTCGGCCAGCTGCTCGACCGCGAGCAGAGCGTTATGGACCCGCGTCTGCCCGGCTTCAACACCAACAACACGTCGTTCTTGACGGCGCTACCGGATGCCAACAACAGCCAGCGCATCCAGCGCCACCCGACGCTCTACAACGCGCACAACGCCGTGCACTTGCCACCGCTGCCGCCACTGGACTTTGCGCCGACAAAGCACCGCAAGCGCCCGCGCAGTATGAGCTTGACCAACTACCATCGGTGGTCGCACGACTTTCCATCAATCCGCCCGGGCATGTCGGTGCGCGTCGTCCGCGCCGAGCGCACGCCCGACGGCGTGGCCCAGTACGTCATCAACGTCGTCGATCTGCACACCAAGGTGCTCTGGGTCGTCCGCAAGCGCTTTCGGGACCTCTATCGCTTCCGGAAGGAGGTCAAGGCGCTCTGCCGTGCCAGCCCGTACGGCGACCAGCTCAAGTATCTCTTTGACATTCCGTTTCCAGGGCGCAGCGTCGTGGCGAAGGCGCCCGAGATGATCTTGCGTCGGCGACTCGTCCTCGATACCTTTCTGCGCAACATTGCGTCGCTCAACCCCGACACGCCGCTGCACGTGGCCGTCCTGGGCAAGCTCCAAACCGAGCTCTGCACGCTCGAGTTTATCCGGCGCCTCGGGGCCATCGACCCGTACGAAGACCCGACCGACCTCGAGCTCAAGTGGCTCGCGTTCGACTTGTTCCGGAACCTCAACAGCTGCTGCACGATCGAGGGTGACACGTGCCAGCGCTTCGTGCACGTCTTCCGGAACCGCGTCGCCGTCGTCCAGGCCTGCGTCGTCGCGATCGCGGTCGACCACAAGAAGCTGGCGAGAGACGCACTCCGCGACCTCCGCCGCATCACGACGCAGATTGAAAAGTACGTGCTCGACACACTCGAGCCGCAGTACCGGCGCACGATCGCGGCAGCGTTGAGCGACTCGCACACGATCGAGGCGGTCGACGACGCGATTGAAGAGATTGTGCACGTGACGGTCGAAGACGCGGTCATGGTGCCGCTCCAGGAGCAGATCCAGTACCTCGTGCAGCTCACGATCGACCACGCGCTCGAGGCGACCGTGACGCAGACCATGGAGCACAAGCTCTTTGGCAAGTCGCAGACGTTCTTTGGCATTCCCGAGTCGCTCCAGTCGGACTCGAACTGGGGCAAGGCCTGCTACCACTTGAGCATGATGGAAGAGCGCATGCTGCCGTGCGAGAAGCTCAAGGAGCTCGTGCTCTCGGCCGGCGAGATCTTTCGCGCGTGCCAGGAAAAGGGCTTTGCGTACACAGAGAGCATGTCGGCCATGAACGCCGACGACTTTTTGCCGATTCACATCTACGTGGTCGTGCACTCGGGGCTCCAGCGGCCGTACTTTGCCAAGGAGTTCCTCGGCGCCATGATCCATCCGTCCAAAATGCTCGGCGAAACCGGATATTTCCTCACCATGTTTGAGGCCGCGCTCAAGTACGTGACGGAGAGCATGTCGGATCCGTAGTATGTTCAAGTTCTAGTCGTTTTGGATAACCTAATGCAGACAGTCATGTCCCATAATCCCACACGCTTGTGCATTGGCTCCGGCACCGCGAGAAATGCTTACGGGGAATAGGGTTAGAAGTTGATACTTTGATACATAATGAAACGCTGTTCTTAGAGGCGTCTTAGAGCTGGGCCATCCACTCTTGGAGCGCCTCGCCGGGCGACTCGTACCGGCGCGTTGTGTCCTTGAGCTGGTGCATGTAGTAAATCCCGAGGTAAAATTCATCGAAGACCATGCGGGAGACGACAGTGCTGCCGCGGCCGACACGGACCGCCTTGCGAAACATGAGTTCGCCGTCGGTGCGGCACGACTCCTTGTCGACGCCCGCGATCTCGGTGAGGAACCGGCAAAACTTGGCGACCGTGAGGCTGATGCGACCGTCGTCGCCGGCGTCGCCACCAGTCGCAAAGTAATCAAAGAGCGGCCAGAGAACCGTCTCGACGTCGGCGCCGACGTAAATGGGCTTTTGGTGCCGACCGCCGACCTGGACCCGGCTCCAGTCGACGTCGTGCCACGCTTTGTGCAGCTTCTCGCGCACCGACATGGGCGTAGGGCACACGGCGTACGAGTGCAAGATGCAGGCGCCAAACACCTGGATAAACCCTTGGAGCGACAGCACCTTGTCGTTGTGCTGCGTCACGACCCCAAAGGCCTCGGCGACAACCTCGGACGTAAACGCATTTGGCACGAGTTTGAGGTCTTGGAAACACTGCAGCGCGCCCTGCAGGTGCATGGCGACAGCGTGCGGTTGCGTCGCCGTCAACGTCGCCTGCAGTTGCCGCTCGAGCGGTCCCCAGTGCGGTGCCGGCACCGGCGTTGGCGAGTTGGGGTGGTGCGTCGCATACTTGACGAAGAGTGCCACCAGCGGGCGCTCGTACGCCAAGATGAGGTCGCCGACCTGCGGCAAGTCATACCTAAGTCCATTGTGAGGATAGGGTTCTTCCATGCACGAGGGTATACCAGGCAATGCTCGGGTCAGTCACGGGGAGGTCGATTTGCGGCACGGCCTCGCTGGGATATGCGTGCTTGAGACTGGCTTTCTCCAGCACAGCGCGCTCGACGACCGCGGTTTCGTGCTCGAGGACAGCGAGGAGCTTCTCCTGGTTTTGCAAAATGTCATCGCTGAGCTTGTTCTGGCGCGCCCACGACGGCTCGGGATTCTCATCGGGAGCCAACAAGTGCCGCCAAAAGCCGTCGAGGCGGGCTTGCAGCGCCGGGTCCGACGCCTCGTCCCGCATTGCCCGCAAGTAGTCGTGGAGACCGTTGACAAACACTGGCAGCGTCAGCGGGGCGGCCGAAAAGTAGCTCCCGAGCGGCGCAAGGACGTCGAGGGTGTCGGTGACGGCACCCGCCGGTGCGAGCGTCGACTGCACGAGCTCGTAGCAGCTGTCGAGCGACATTTGCGGCGTCCAGCCGTCAGTCGTCGGCGCGTCGGCGTGAATACCAAAGAGCTGCGTGAGCCGATCGACGACGAGGTCTTTACCGAGCTGCACGAGGCTTTGCGGGAGCGCCCAGGCTGCGTCAACAGTGCAGAGTGCCGTCATGTGGGTTGAGAGCGACGCGTGCGCCGCTTCGATTTCCGCCACCCGCGCCTCTTCCCGAAGTAGCTTCTTGGAGAGTGCCTCGACAGCGATGCGCGTGTCGTGGGTGACGAATTGGTATCGCTCGACGTCTGCGAGCAGCACCTTGTTGTACTGGTCGAGGGACTTGGCAAACTTGGTCTGGTCGTCGAGCGCAGTCTCAAGCGAGGCGACCCTGGTGTCGAGTGACTTAGTGGCTTTTGACAACCTCGCTGCCGCCCGCCACTGGAGCAACCACTGGCGGACACCGGTCGCCCGGTCGATATGTCGTAGAACGTACGCCACAAACCCGTGCTTACTGAGCTGAAGCTCGCCCCGGAGCTGCGTCATGACATCGGTTTGCTCGGTCAACCGGTGCTCAAGCTGCCGCGTCGACTCTTCGACCTTGGCCTTTTGCCGTGAGAGCGCAAAGACGCACTCTTTGGCTTCGTGGAGCTCGTGCACCTGGGCCGACGCCGTTGCGATGGCCGACTGTAGTACATTGCTCTGCGTCGAGCCCCGCCAGGTTGTTAGCGCCCGCCGGGTCGTATCGAGGCCGCGCAGTTGCATCCACCGATTGAGCCGGCGGAAAGCGTAGAGCCGATAGCGGTATCGGACGGTGGTGTCGTGGCTTGTCGCTCGCCACCGCCGAAACGACGTACCGAGGGTCTTCATTCGCCACTGCTTGGAGTGTGCTTCCATGAGAAGAAGCATGCACTGCAGCGACGTCTCGCGGGCGTGGCGTCGGTACTCCTTGACCATCGTCGTCGCCATGGCTGCGCGGTGCTCGCCAGCCTGGAGCTGTCCCGAGCTGCGCAGACAGTGCAAGCCACGGTCCATGCCGTGTCGCTTCTCTGCGTGGGCAAAGAGGATCATTGCCATTTTGTTGGTCGCGAGCCCCAACCGCGCCTGTCGCCGGCGCACCGACGTCACCCACTGCGTAAACACCCGTCGCAGCACCGACGCCGTGGCATGGTCGAAAATGCGGCGAAGCGCACTCGATTGTAGCAGACGCCGTTGCTTGGACCAGTGTACCTGGGCTTGCAGTAGCTTTGACTGGCTCGCTTCCATCGCTGCCGCCGAGTCCTGCAAGGCGCCCACGCTGGATTCAAGCGCCTGAATGTACGCTCGCAGCTGCATCTCGTTCGAGACGTGTGCAGCCACCGACTCTTCGAGGTGGGCCACTTTGGACGCGTACGCTGCGTTGGCCAAGTGCGCTGCTTCCAGCTCGGTCTTGAGCGTCTTGGTCTCGCCCAAGTAGGACGCAAAGGACGCGAGCTTGAGGTCGATCGTGTGCAGCAGCGTCTCGCCCTTGCGCGGTTCGTGGACGATGTGGGCTGTCGGCATCGACACGCGCTTCACGGGCGCGATGCTCAGCGCCGCGACACTGCCGTTGGCGTGCAGCGTGTGCCAGAGCGCTTGGCGCTGCGACTCGCCGAGGCTCTTGTGCTGCTCCGGCACCGACGAGAGGCTCTTTCGAACATACCGCGGCTTGGTCTCGTCGCCCTCGTGGACCGTCGCCAAGACACCCTTCTCCGACACGAGGTGGTCCCACTCGTGTTCGCTGTCGTCCCTGATACCGATGGTCGCGACGGTGCCGCCGGACGGCAGGTCGCGGGCACTTGGTAGCGTCGTGCAGCGCACAGCTGCCCCTAAAGGTCCACTCGTAGTGTGCGCTGGCGGTGGCGGCGCCAACGTTGGGTCGGCTATCGTTGGTGGCAGCGGTGATTCGACGTGTGGTAGCGACGCGAACGGGTTGCCCGCGTTGGTCACCGGCGTTGGTGCGGCGACGGGCGTTGGTGCTTCAACTGGGGGCAACCGCCATTCGTCGTCCGAGACGAGGACGTTCTGCTCCGGTGTCTTGCCGATCGGCTTTGGCTCCGAGAAGAAGAGGTCGTCGAATGCAGCGTCAAAGTCCACGTCGCCGTCGTCGTCCGTGCTCATCGCCGCGACCTTTCGCAACTGGTCGGTTCCGCTCCATTTTATTCAATTTCCATACAAATTCCAAGAGACCAACGGCGTAGATTGGCTGAGATTACGCTATCGTCGTCGACCACTGCCGGTTTCAGGCAGCCAAACAACGCGCCAAAACCACGCCGATGACGGCGACCGCCGACGACCCGACGCACGATGCCGTCGACGGCGGAGCCGTTGTCGCCTTGGGCGGTGACTTTGTACTACCGCCCGGCGCAGTCGTCACGTTGCCCGGCGCCGTCGTAACATTGCCCGGTGCCGTTGTAACATTACCCGGCGCCAGCGTCGTTGCCTGCATTGTTGTCGGCGGCGGCACGGTTGTCGCTGGCTTCGTCGTGACGGGAAGTGTCGTCGTCATGGGCGTCGCTGTCTGGCTAACGTTGCTCGTGCTCGTACCATTGTCCGACGGCGTCCGAACGAGAGTCGCCGGAACAAGCATGCCGGGTTCGTCCGGTGTGAACGAAGCGTTGGTTGCCGACGGCGCGTTGCAGCGGAAGGCCACGTAAGGCGACGCCTTGGCTCGCATGCAGCACTGACGCACCGAGAGCTGGCCGCTCGCGTTGTACGCGTGTATCACGTACACGAGGCCGTCGCAACAGCCCTCGATGATCGGGTCGTAGCACTTGGCGCGGCCTTGGTTGCCGCAGAGCATCCCTTCATTGCAGCTCACGACCATCCCAGCAAACACAGCGTGGAGGTAGACGACGCTCAGGAGAGCAAAGGCACGGAGCGAGGCTGGCATCGAAGCGAACAGTTGAAGAATGAGGTTGGTGAAAGAAGTCGGCGATCGCGCCGTTGGTGGTGGAATGCGCGCTGCTGCCGTTGGACGAGCGCCTTCCAGCTCAACGTTCGCATGAGAGCTGGCTGTGGTCCCGGATGCCGCTTCGGTCTGTACCTGTCATCCCACTACGTAGCAGGTCGTAGTGTTTCTTGGTCACTCCATCCGGAGTGATGTACACCTTTTCCAGTTTCCTTGTTGCAATAGACCAGTCGGCTGACGATCGAGCCAACGGAATGTCCTGGCTCACTTCAAACCCGCTTCCGCTTGTACGCTGGTACAGCTCGTCAAGTCGACCGAAGCACAGCTTCAGACGGTGTTGTGTCGACAGGTAGATGCCCCAAAAAGACGCTCCAACTCGGCCAATCAAACGTCGTTTTCACGATCGTATTGGCCAATCAGCCACGCGCAGGAAGCTCCGTTTGACACAGCAACATAATCTGATTTGGATG